TCACCGACAATCATTTCACTGACACGATTTCATCGACACCGAATGTCGCCGACAATATTAACTCACCGACAACCACTTCATCGACAATCATTTCACCAACAATGTTTACTCATTGATGTCGACTTCTAGTGCATATAATGATTGTTTTTTTTATGTAACCATTGACAATATGTGTATATACATGTATTCAGGGTGTAAAAAAAATGTTGCAGGTCCCTGAAACGGGTGACTCGTAAGGTGATTTGAAACAACTTTTTCCTTAGTAAAAATGTTATCCCAAGCTTTGTTAACGAGATGTCAATGAAAAACCCCGACCAATCAGAGCGCAAGTCTGCCAGCCGAGCATCCGCAGTAGCGTCGGCTACGCGTTGCGATTTGTAACGTTACCGCAGATGCTCGGCCGGCAGACTTGCGCTCTGATTGGTCAGGGTTTTTCGTTGATATGTCGTTAACAAAGCCTGGGATAACATTTTAGCTCAAGAAAAAGTTGTTTCAAATCACCCCTCATTTCCAGGTGTTGGAGCTATTTCACAAAAAACAAAATAGCTTTGTATTTAAAAGGTATGTTCATTTTTTATATAATAAATTAATTATCAGTTTTATCATTTGATATCTAAAATTGAAACATGAAAGGAAGAAGATGTTTGAAAGAAGATTATTGCACTTTCCAATGAGACCAGCCTTACAGCTGCATTTTGCAAATTTAATTCTATCAATTTTTTTCCAAAAATTATTACCGCTTCATGGGGGTGCCCTTCAATTGAATTAGATATTTGCAGACAAAAAGTTAATTCATATTGATCCTCGTTTTCAGTCGATATTCTGCTGGCTTGCCTCAATTCATTTTTTCCCTTCTATGAAATTTCTGCTGTTTAACGTTGAATTTGTAAATTCAAACATACTACTTAATCACGGAAATATTACGGTATATCTTTTTAAAAATCGGTCACGTAATTATAATGGTAGGTATACGACGCTCGTATGACACTCTGATCCGATTACAGAGCTTCGGAGCTACGGTGGGTCCCCCAATGTCAAATCCGAACACCAACAGGCACTCCTGAATATTGAACTTAAATGTGCTCACAACAATAAATCAGTTTTCGAGAAGTTTTCACACTAGTAAAATAGTTCTAACTGAACGTTTTCTAGCTTATAGATTCGAGGAACCCCCCCTTGGGAGTTCTAAGGTTAATAACAAGTTGATGGGAGTTTTTTTTTTTAATAAAAGAAAATTGTGTTTGACCATTTAAACTGGTAAATTATTGAATCTGGACCACTATTATGGTTCGACACGTTCGACACATTGAATAACGTTAAATTCGGGTGTACGGATATAAGATCGGCCGGTGGAACCGTATCGGATGGCTCGACCGGAAGGTGAACGAACCTTCATCGAGGAATTTCTACGAGCAGAAACGGAGGAGCATTTTCTTCGGAAGGAAAGAACGTTCACAAAACGAGCGCCGGGGGTAATCGGTATCCGATCTTCGTCCCTGAGACGGCAAGAAGCAGAGCATGACAGCGGTATGAAGGAACGGTTGGACACAGTTTGTTGCCGGTTGCTTCGAAGAAGTACCAAGTCATTTACGAACATTCACGCGTTTTCCACTGCGAAATTCCTTGCGGGACGGGGGCGTACGAACAAGATTCCCCTTACTTTCTCAAACTATCCGTCATCGTTTGCTGCACCGTGTCGGATACCGCGAGAAAATTCAGGCATCTTGATCCTTTGACGTCAGAGACCGCTGGTATGAAACGGGTCAGGATGATACTTCATCGCACGAGAGAGTACAACCCACGAATAATTCAGCTTCTAACGGTCACGCTCTCGATTACTCTTTCATATCTTCTCGTATACATTGCTTTTTTCTACTATCTTCTGTTCATTCGGTACGTTGAACATTGTCATATGGAAACATACAATGACGCATGAATAGAAGCTGAGTCAATAAGAACTACTATCTATAGCTCGTTACCTATTGACGAGTTTTAATGAATTATGTAGCATTTCAAGGGACGCATCGGATGGATACAATTTGATTTCATTGTATCTTTTTTGATATCAAGGTGACCTTAAGTTTTTTTAGCTCGATGCATCTTTTTTTAATGCCACGTTGTTGTCGATAGAAAGACGAATTCAATGACCTATAACATAATAGTATTTAAAAAAAATTACCTTGAAAAAACTGAAGGCTACCTTGTATTTAAAAAAAAAATAAGATATAATGAAATCAAATTGTATTCATCCGATGCATCGCTTAAAATGTTATATAATTCATTAAAACGTTTCTTGATACAACTAACAGATAATAAGATATTTTACGATAGATAGTAACTGTTATTGACTCCCCCTGTACATTAAGTGAATGCAAAAGTTCGTATGGTTAATTTGGTTCATAAATTAATTTATTAACACGCGAACTAAAGTAAAATCGGGTTCCATTGATATGCCTTTTTATTAAGATCGAAATTAAATTGACGATATAATAAAAATTGTTCAATGGTGTATTATGTTTAGGGCCTCCAAAATTAATCAGTAAATGCAAAAAAAAAACAAATCCGGCAATGTGGTAGTAACAATTGTGATAGACCGAAACAGACAGTCCAAAAACTTCTCTGTACTCAACTATTTCGGCCACCGGATAGATATAGAACGCAGCTAGGAATTTTATCTGTTCGATCGCAGATTCAGTCCGATGATTAAAGGTTCCTAATAATTTCGTATGAATCTAATTCCCTCGCGATACTGTAATTATCCGCTTCGACTGTTCTATACGTGGCATGGAAATCTTCGCGTTCCGGCAATAAATCGACCAAATTAATGGAACATAACCAAGCACGCTACGTGAACGACGACTCAGAAGGTGCATCGTTTTCTCTTCATTTTCTCTCTCCCAGCGAGAACAGTAAATTGGATTGGGAAGGGAACAGTTGCGGCTTTCGTTCGACACGTTCCGTGCGTAGGCCTTTTACTGTGACTGTCCGTTAACTACACATAGATCATAGACAGTGATGTGACTGATACCGTATCGATACTATCGATACCCTTTCTCCAAGTTTTAATACGGTATCGATACTATCGATACCCTTTCTCCAAGTTTCAATACGGTATCGATACATATCAAAGACGTAGACATAAAAAAGAATCGATACCTATTTGATACCTACCCGAAAGTATCGATACTTGTTTGATACCTACACGAAAATATCGATACCTATTTGATACCTGCTCGAAATTTGAATACTTTTCGGCAGCGCGTTCTCCGGGAGTCGAAGCTATTTTAGGACACCCTGTATACAAATAGAATAAAAAAATGACCCATAAAATGGCAAAAAGCTGTGGATAATGATGATAAATACATCATTGATTAAAATAGTAAAATGTGTTTTACTTGCATTGCTTCAAAATTCCCCATAAATACGAATTTATGGACTAACCTGATGATTTAACAAATCTGTTACTAAATGAACTTAGTTTCTCTTTGGTTCTGATTTCTATAAAACGATTCAGAAAAGTGAGAATTTGCATGAACATTCGCAGTCTAGTAATGAGGATAAGTGGGTACACTAGAATCGCATTTCTGTCGTATTTATACTTAATTATTATTTCGATAGTATGTGAACAAATGTGTGAGTCACCGTATATTGAATAGAAAACTATCAGCTAATTTTAAGAGAAAATAAAGCGTACAACATTATTAGGCTATTAATTCGTTGAAAGTTTGATACTATTCATGTACGTGTACCAATTACTGATATCTTCATTTTTGAACAGATAGAACAGAACACATGAAATTAAAGAAGAAAAAAAACAAGTGAAAACATTTCATTTAGAATATTTACAAGGAAAATTAGTGCTTCGTCAGCGAAACCTAAAGCAGTTTGTAATGAATATTATACATACCTATTCATTAGTGTCAATCTAATAGTGTTTGAAGAATTTACATACTTCAACCATGTGAAAAAAAAAAATTGATTACTTTCATGCTAGAAGTATTCATTTCAGTTATAAGGATGAATTTCAATATAGAACTGAAATACAAAGCGAAGATATTGAAAGCAGTTTACAATAACAAATGAAATCTACGTCTAAAAAATGTTAGGTTGGTATAAGATCAAAATACTAATCACTACAACTTACTATAATTATAGAAACGCTAATCTTTATTCTACCGTGAAACCAAGTGAAAAAATTCTACATATCCGAAATTTATAACAATTTTTATTCTTTAAATTGTTCTACAATATTAATCTCCATATAAAGCAGTCTTCACACATGAAGAATTTCTAAACAACAGAGTACTTTTCTAAAGTTAATAATTCTAACTGTGGTATTTTATACAAAATGACCTAAATATCACTAACGAAATTTAATTTTTCACGAAAACATTTTTAAGATATCCAATTCTAATTCTAGGCACAAAACAAATACTGTCAATATAAAAAAAAAGATTTTTGATTATCTTGTATTTCTTGTTCACAGCAAGCAATAAATTCTTACAACGTACAATTACTTTCAATCACTGATAAACTTTTAAGAAATACAAAGAAAACCTTTTTGTTAAATCTTGTATTTCACGAAACACTTGAATGCAATCGATACCAAAGTGTACAGAAAAATAACCTTAGCAATAAGAGTTAGTCACTCAACTAGCATTTGAAGAGATTGCCAGAGTAAAGATATTTGAATGGGTTTCACGTGAGGTGAGTGGCGCTCAGAAGCTTAAGTGAACGACGATAACAGCGTCGTCAATCTGGAGGAACAAGCACAATCCATTTTCTAAACAACTCGTCACATTTGTTGAAAAGCAGATGTTACGGTTAAAAATAATAGAAATAGCGATCGAGTAAAAAAAAAGGCAGACAAGACAGCAGCAATCGGAACGTGATTAGAAATAGGGACATTGGTCTTACTTTCTCGTTCAGAAAAGCAGTTTCGCCTGTAGGAACCCAATACGTCGCACGGCGTAAAATTATTCAAATAATTATGTACTCACTCGGATTTCGTTGTATTTCATGGTAGAGGATGGTTACTATGTCCGCAGGATCCACGAAATCTGTCAATCCATCCGTGGCGAGAACTAGGAAATCCTCTGCGCCATCCAAAGGGATGCACTTGACTTCTGGATTGGCCGTTACAAATGGTTTATACCGAGCATCACCTGAAAGGTAATGAATACGTTAAGTTAGACAACCTGAAGATTGAATTTTTGTTTTATTTATTTCACTTTTATAGTAAATTTCCTATCATTTAATTTATTTAATTTATACAATAACTTTTCCACGTCGTATAACAGCCATTCTGTTTTTCTTTCAAGAATTCGATCTCTTCGAATAAATTTTTTAAGCGTAACACGTTTATTCGTCTCACTTTGGAATTTCATTTTACATGGAACCAATTATAGGTATACATTAGAGTATCTTCTTCTCTTTCTTCGCGAATTTTCATGTTTCTTCAATTATTGACTATACGCGGTTTCATTCATAGTTGTAGCAAACCGATGGATAAAAATGCATAAATATATAATAACCGGAAGCGTCTATGTTACGGTAGTGCTATTATTTAAATCAGCCACGCCATTCATTAAATAGATAATTAAAGTTAATTACGGACTACTTGAATACTGGATACACCCCACGGCGTTGGGATCGCGTGTTTTTCAGATGTAAAAAACAGCGCTTATGCGCAATGGGTAACTGTAACAGTTATCACGGATTCCATAAAATTGCACGTCACGGGAAATGAAATTTTCTTTCTCTTTCCTTTCTTTTTATATGCACCTCGCCCGACGACACGATCGACAAATTCATTTCAATCTATCGTCTAATTAGAGAAACCTGAACCAGACACGGAAACTGACGAAATACAAATTTTTCAACTCTAATTATACTTGAAACACGTCACGTGCCCCGAAACTATTCCGTTTCACATAACTGTTCAGTAATAATTTCGGGAAACAAATGGATAGACACAGCGGAAACGAATGCAATTATACAGGGTGTAACAAAAATGTTCGAGGGCCCGGAAATGGGAGACTCGTGAGGTGATTTGAAACAAGTTTTTCCTTAGCAAAAATGTTATCCGATGCTTTGTTAACGAGATACTAAACGAAAAACCCTGGCCAATCAGAGCGCGAGTGTGCCGTCCGAGCATCTGTGGTAACGTTACCAATAGCAGCGCGTAGTCGACGCTACCGCGGATGCTCAGCCGGCAGTTAATATCTCGTTAACAAAGCCTAGGATAACATTTTTGCTAAGGAAAAACTTATTTCAAATCATCCCACGATTCTCCCATTTCCGGGTCCTCCAACATTTTTGTTACACCCTGATATTGATTGACCATTTGAGAAAGAGTGGAGGCAATTTCCACTTCAAGGTTAGCCATGTCATTTCTATAAATACCCTTGTGAGAGGGAATTTAGGCAATAGTTATTGTCTTACCTGATTTTAAAAATTTGTCATGTAATTCTTGAATAACTATATATATTTCGGTGGCTTGCTTAAAATCTTGACATCTTAATATAGTGGACAGTCGGAGAAAATGATAAATTTAGAGTCAGGCGATGTATCAATAAAATTTAACGTTCGTCGATCTTGATCGTAAAATCTACCGGAAATACCAATAATAAATGCCTGCAACGACCGCTCTACTCGTCGTGAAATTTCCGCGAAGCCGAAGAGAAATTCCGGCAAACGAAGAAGGACCACCGAGACACGCGTCTTCTCGTGATGCAAAAACGGCGTAATGAGCTGTTAATTATTCCGGGCATGCGATTGTAGCAGCCACCCAGTAAAGCGTGCATTGCTGGGAGCATGGCTGCACGTACTATTGTGTCAGCGGTCGAACGGAACCAACAGGATATTCGACACGCGTCCAGAATTTTTTTCTTTCCTTTTTCTCGCGATACCTAATCCATAGTTGGCCAGCTGCTACTACCATGTTGGCCTCTCCCTACTTGACTTCCGGGCAAAACACTCGACTTTTCGGCAACTCGAATTCAATTTCGTGTCACCGATCGCACACGAGGTCCGACGCAAGCGAAGTCAACATGTTCTTCAGACTTATATCATTTTTATTTTTTGGGAGAGTCTAAAGAAGTATTTCGAGTCAAAAGCAACTAAATAACCATTAGTAAAAGAACAGAAAACATTTGCAAAGATGAAAATTTGCAATTTTGAAAAAAATTGATTTTTTGAAAAACTGTATATCTTGGGAAGAAACGGTTTCTTATTCACCTTATAGAGATTTATCAGAAACGTCCTATAGTGAAATGAAAAATAAAAAGGATAAACCTTTTTCTTTGATGCGATGATAAATACTGTACTTATGAACGTTAGTGTATAAATTAAAAATTTTAAAGTCAATGTGTAAATTGTCGACAACAGTGAGATTACAGTTTTTAGCAGTATGACGTTCAATAGACGATCACATTAGTCAAGTCTACAAATCAGAATTCGATAAATGTAAATTCTGAAAGATTATAGGTACCCTTTTCCATCAATTGTGAATACAAATTTTCGTAAAATAATCGTTAATGGCGACGGTTTTACCGTCATCTCTAGACAATCAGAAATAAAGCAATAATAATTGTAACAGAAGTATTTCGAAACCTGCCGATCGAGGTGATAATAGAGTCAAGTTTCAGAAACCGCAGAAACAAACCCACGGGAATCAACGCAATAAAATGATTAAAAAGGCATGAGAACGTCTCGGTGTTTATTTTAAAAGTTAGAATTGTTTTCGTCATTATTGTATATATCCTGTTACAATTCAAATAATCGACAATTGTTTTTCAGTGCTTTTAATCAGATTCTCTATGGAGACAACAACTCTATGACACTTGGTATATTATAGGAAAGAAGAACTAATACTTACTACTATGCTTATCTAATCTGTCAGAATAGGGTTTATTCCAATTGCTCAATAATCGTGAATATTTTGGTTGTTCACAGAAAGGTTAACGTCAGAGGCCGAGTATTCGAGGAGTCTGTTGACTTTTTGGAAAATACCCGCGCGCCGCCACGCGGTGGGTAGGTACACCAAATGTCTGGGCACGCCAGAGGACGCCAAGAAAGCAGCGACTGGCCCTGTGTGGTCTGGTAACGAATGGCGTGAAACACATTTGACGATTTGCACCCACAAGGATATCGTTTTACACATCGTCCACGGTGTACCCGCGTGAAGTTCAGTAATACCTCTTCTATACTTGGTGGTAGGAAAATAGTAGAATACTCGTGGCGAACACGAGCGATATGGGGAAACGATACCCCGCATACGTACAGTTGGTCACAAAAGTATTCAAACACTCTTTAAAACCGAACAACTTTTTTAAAATTGGTCCAAATGACTTGAGTTCTTTTGTGAAATTAGGGACATCAGTTTACTAAACGATCAGTTCACAAGAGAAATCAAGTCACCTGGACCACTTTGAAAAAAGTTATTCTGTTTTAAAGGACAATACTTTTATGACCAACTGTATATCACCCGATTCAACTAACAGAAAGTTAGACCTACGACCTCGCCGTTTCTCGTGAATTCGCGGTAATACCTACGCATTAATTCGCTTGATAAATATGTTTTTCACACCACTCAGCTGCCATGGACCAGTCATTCCCCTGGTGTCCTTAAACCTTGTCTACGCGACGTAATGCACAAAAAGAAAGCATGCCAAATTGCTTGTGAGATCTTGGCTTCCCCTATTCAAATTCATTACTGTTTTCACTCTCTGTTGCTGTTATTCGGTACAAACCACGTGCATAAGTTTCAAGGTGTTCTAATATACCAGTTCAACAAATCAATTTTTTGCATATTGCATTATCTTACAGTTTAGGATCTTAAAAATGTGTTCCTAAAACAATATGGCAAATATTCATAAAATTGTCGAACCTATAGAAGAATAAAGGACGGCGTGTATACCGCGCATCCAGTACGACGCAAACAGTATTAATGAACCATAATTCTTTAATTCCACATCCTTCATCAGAAGTGAAAGATTTTCTGGATATAATACTTTAAGTTTTTCTGTTCATCAAATACTTCTTGCCAGATGCAGTAAAATATAAAGTCTATGAATGTTTGTATTTCAAAATAGTGTACAGTTGAAATCATGTGTGTCTGATGTAATTTACCAATTGTAGAGAATACTTGCACTGCCATCTAGCGATTGCCAGCTTTTCTCCAAGCAATAGCGGATGTCACTCCTGCAGCTTCGATTCGTTGAACCAGGGACAATGTCACCGATATACATTACACACATTAAACGGTTTTCAACGTTTCTGGCAAACACTGAAGGAACTTGAATTTAAGAATTTCTCCCCTGGTCAGATTAACGAGGAACCCATTGAGCATTTGACTTTGGGATGATAAGAAGTCATGGGAGAAGAAATGTTAATCTAACACCGATACAATTTCAAAGTTCTTTTAATTAACAATCCTACATCAACAAGAACAGTGAAAAGAAATTGTAACGATGACAATTCCGAAATATTATTTTCACTTCACAATTTTGCAATATTAGCTAATAATTCAGAGAATGCAGACAAACCATTTATAGAATCCCCGAAAATCGACAGTGAAAACAAGTATATTTTATTTAATGACGACGAGTTCAACTCTAAGAGAACTTGCATCGACAATTCCCACATTCTGATAAAAGTAGTGAATAATATTAGGCGAAAACACTGTAGCGACAGCATTTCAAATATTCTATATTTGTTTATATACTTTTTTATACCACTTTACAGGGTAACATTCCGTTCTTTCGTTGTAAGAAAGGATTAATGAAAAATGTAACAATATCGTTGACTGTACAATTAGATCACATTCAAATTTTGCGGTACTTGGCCGTCATATTGACTTTTAATTCCCATTAAGAGTTCCATATTTTAGAGGGCGTTCGAAACACTACCCGTCACTTACATTGAAGTTTTCTGATGTAAAGTGTCAAGTTGGTTGAAAAGATATTTCACTGTTATTTCACTGTGCAAAATAAAACGTTAACCTGTGCGATTCGTGCTTACCTATAAATGTGAGTACGAAGAACGAATGTAAATAAATACTAATTGAACATCGACGACTTTGACAACAAACGGCCACGCCTTATAAAAGCGCAATTTCCTTGTTCGTGTTTGATTTTTATTAAAATGTTATGACAGATCGCGATAACGAAACGCATTTTTATATAACCTATCGTAGAATTAACCTTAACTTTTTACCGAAATGCATGACAGTGATCGTATTCACATTTTTATCCCCAAAAAAATTATTTATTTAACTGTGTTGTCTATTAAGTTTTACGTACTATGTAGGAATGTAAAAATATTTGCAAGATTTATAAAAGTAAAGTACTCTTTTTCGTGGAAAAAATTAAATAATTGAAGGAATATTTTGTACTAAAATAATGTACCAATAAACCATCTACTGAACTGTAATGTTCTTGAACACTAAACCTACCTAACCTTTCCAAAAGGTAGGAAGTAGAACGACAAAATCGGTCGTGGTAGGTTTAGTGTTAATTGCAGCACTGTAGCAATAAAATTAAGAGTGTGCTGTTTTCCACACATCTTTTTTGTCACAAAATTTATTGAAACTGAGAGAATATATTTTTCTGTATACCACTCAGAGTAATTTATGTTGCTAATACAGATTGTATCATAATACCAACATAAATTTGTTTATCTTTATTTGTTAGTAAGAAATAAATTTTTATTAATTCCTTACAAACATGCTCATAGGAAAAGACTAAGTACATCGCCTACTAGATATTATAAGTAATTTTTTCCAGAAACATACATAACTTAATAAAAAGCAACTTACCTATTGCCCTTGACACGCTTAAGACTCCATTGACTCGCATGATTCCAGCACTTCGCATCACTACTCCTCCCATCCTTCGTATTCTTAGTACTTCATCCTAAGAAAAAGAACCACTATGTTTCTTACACTTCGCCATAAACTCTTTACAAACATACTATATCTACGAAATTTCAATTGTTTTTCATGTCAAATTAAATGGAAAAATTTCTGTTAAATGTATTATAAATACAGGAAATATACATTATAATATTATCCAGTAAACGCTCAAATGACTGATTGCAGAATTATATTTAAAAATGACAGTTCTGGGAACACAAATAGACAGTGATAGAAGATTGTTAGAATTTACATCTTATGAAAATTATTTAGATTCATTGGTAACATTTGTCGACCTTGGATATTTAAGAAATTTACACACTGCTCGACAATTAGCTGAACTTGGATATAGATGTACTGGAGAAACTCTTAGCAAAGATGCATTCTATCGACGTTTGGAAGCTGTAAAAAATTTACTGTTTCCAGTATACAGACCATACGAACTAACATCAGAATTTATAACCCCAAGCAATGCAGTAATGCAAGAATTAGCACTTCGCGAACGACTAAACAGACTGAAAGTTATATCCACTATTATATTCATAAGAAACTTTACAAAACTTCAATTTGAAGTCTCTGGTTACATAGACTTTAGTGAAAGACTTGAAAAAGAAAATTGGCTTCCGTATTTTCAAGGGAAGAAAAAACTATGGCCTCGTCCATCTGATCTTGCATATTACCATTGGAGAACAAGTAAAACATGTTTAAATGAAACGTCAAACTATCAACCTGTTATAGATCCCAAACTAGGTCTTAGATTTAAACACTGTCATGACAGGGAATTGATTAGCATTGATCCAGGAAGTCCATCTCCAGGTATGGATACAACACGAACAAGAGTACGTTGTCCAGAATATGAACATGTTATATTGTATGACCATATGATTCGAAGTAAAAGTAACGATGAAGGCGATGAGGATTTACTACTTGAACAATACTGTCACGTCTTATTAGCATAGCTGAAGAGTCTCCTACCCAGGCAATGTATAATGTTCTTTTTAACAACAAAGCACAAACTGCTGTAGTTCCACCGAATACTTTCTACAAAACATATAGATCATTCTAAATATTGATTGTATATTGCGGAAATGTTTTATGGTATGTAAATTTCTAGTACTTACTTGTGTTTTAGACTTCTCTATAAATTGTGTGTCTGTAGTAATAAAAGCTTCGTGTAAGGCACGCTGTATATCAGTTGGATAATATATGCTTTCCATTAAATACTGATGAAGATGCGCAGCAGTATAGACAGCTGCATCATGTCCTGCATGTCCATCAAATACTCCATAATAATTTGCCACAGACTTATTCTAGAATTACAAAATATTCCTCTATAATAATATTTGGTACCAATGTATATGTATTCCATAGAGACTCGGAACCAGATCTACCTTAATACCGTAGGTAGCATGTAAATCATGCAGGACTATATGGCGGTCCTCCATTTTTCTTCTATTTTTGTTTCCACCTGCTGCTACCTGTGGCAATGGTGTACAAGGAGGAGGTGGTAGTAATGCTAATCTACTACTTTCTAGATAGCGAATGCACATCTCATTAACTCTAGTGACAATGGCTGTCATTAATTTAAAAAAATTATATGCTGAAAAAAAATACAAATTGTAAAAATTTCGTTTTTAAAAAATCAAACTAGTAAGTGTATGATAAAAAGACGTATACTTCTCTCTTGTGTATTGAAACCATAATGTGCTGCTTGTTTTTTGCACATGGATTTGGTTTCCTGTAATATTTGATGAACCAAGTGTCCTTGCAAGCATGGCGGGCATTGCCTGAAACACAAAAAAAAATTGTATAAATGTATAACTACTGCAAGAAACTGCGACAATTAAAACTGCTATATACGTACTTCCGAAAGAATTACACTGTTCAACAAATTTTAACCTTTTTTGATAAGAAATAATTCTCTGGATTCTCCCGAAGAAAATAATGTAAACTGTTATATTATAGACATCTAAATATGTTTAAATAATGTTCAAAGTGAAAAGGACACCGAAAATGCACCAATTTTTGCTGATATTCTTCGATTTATTTAAAAAATTAAGGATTTAGGAGAAAATCTAACAATAGCATGCAATAGAGCAGACCTTTCTGCTGAGAAAGGTATCAAGGAAAGTTCTAAAATCTTTTTGTTTTCAATAGGGTAGCGAAACAGTTCAGCAAAACACGCGCCGATGACAGTGGTAGTCATGACGGCGTGGCGGTCACCTTGGCAGCTTAACCCTTGTGTAGGCAACCAAAATATTGACGGGTCATTGAGCAATCGGAATACTTCTATTTTAACAGATTAGATAAACATAGATAATTTTACTTTTATACTTTTCCGAAACTGTTAGTTTTCCGTTCCAATAACATACAGAAAGCTGTATTAGACAAAAACCTAAAAAATTGTGAAAGGAAATTTAGAAATGGGTACCTACATAGGTACACAGTTGTTTACACAAGGGTTAACGGAAGCGCTAAATACGTGCAAACGAGACGACGCTGGCATTGAGTACCACTGCCGCTGTCGCTGCGTGTTTTGCTAAACTATTTCGCTTCTCCATTGAAAAAAAAATAGATTTCATAACTTCCCTTAACACCATCTTTAGCAGAAAGGTCTACACTAGCGGATGCTCTTGTTAGATTTTCTCTTAAATCATTCATTTTTGAAATTAATTGAAGAATATCAGCAAAAATTGGTGCGTTTGCGGTGTCTTTTTCACTTTGAACATTATTTAAATATATTTAGATGTCTATAATATAATAACATTTTACATCATTTTTTTCGGGAGAGTCCAGCGAATTATTTCGTATCTAAAGCAACTGAGAATAACTATTACTGTAAAAACACAACACTCCAAAGTTGAAAATTTGCAATTTTTTACAAAATTAATTTTTTCACAAACTGGACGTACTGGGGAAAGAACGGTTTATAGATTCGCATTCAGCTTATAATGTATCTATGTATCAGAAATGCCTATTAACGGTTATGAAGTATTTTACGTGTTGAACAGTATTATTTAAAATAACAAACTTCACGTTTTAAAAACTATGCTGAATACAGGAAACATTATTTATAACAACCAAAGCAGAATGGATGACAGCAAGAAGCGTACGTAACTTACAACCAAGAAAATTTTTGATTCTGGTTTCTATAGTGAAAATTACATATGTACAGCGATATACAATCATGGATTTTTCATTTAGAAATTCTCTTCATCGTAAGCATTAAAAATTATCACTAAAATGTATTCGAATATAATTTTAAATCGCAAAAAATATGCATAACTAATGATTTTGATTTCATTATATCTTTCATAAAATTTTATCTTTAGTTGTTCTTTCCAAAATATTGTACAACATCTCGTGAACACAATCTAAAAAATATTAGTAATAGAATGTTTACAGTAAATATAAAGAAATTTTAATTGACCCTCAGCAAATATAAGAGTGTTCTGTTTATTAAAGTTTATGAATTTCAATATTGTAACTGTGATAAAATCTAAGCCTAAACTTAAGACTTAATTCCATTTATCCTGTACTATATGATTTAACTACATATTTTTATCTGTCTTAGTTTTAGCATTATTTCTATTCATGTTCACTTTATTATTTTTTAATTGAAAGTGATCCCTTCTTACCTGTGGACCGGCCCCCAGAGATAAATCTGAATTTTGGGAGTACAGTGGACTCTAACTATATTGCCACGGTAGGGGCTGTAGGGGAATAAGATGGCAATGAGTTCAGAGGCCCCTCGATGCTAAGTTCTATCGTCATTGCCTCGGCCTCAGCGCCTGCGCAAAAGCTGGATCGTGATGGGAGAGCGAATTTGTGTGCTCGAAAGTACGTATAAAGGGCAAGTGCATCGCGTGGCAATATAGTTAGAATTCACTGTACGTGGAAGAATTCTCTATCACTCTATTTCCAAAATACTAAGAAAAATAACATTCAGTTGGTTATGAAAGATATTACGGAAGTACATAGTTGTCGGATTATTCATCTCTGAGATGAGTCGTCTCGTAGTTAAGGACTAATTCTATTACGCGTATACGGAAAGACAAATGAAAAACGCCTGGGTGGTAAATGTGTTGACCGTTAGAAATCGTACTTTTTAATACTGAAAATGTTACTGTACCAACGGCATGACAATGTCGTTCCATTACTTCAAATTCACGGAACATTCTCTTGTTTCGTTCGAAACAAAGAAGAAACCTACAGAGGACACGTTCCGTACACATGTAGTAGTGCAACGGCGTTTCGGACCTGCGTACACACGTTTACGATATTTATAAGATAGCGTATCACTATTTAGATATGAGGGATCTTTGGAGAGGTGAGGTGACACGCAAACGGTGCTTTGAACGGGAACAAGGAGATTGCGCTTTAGACAAGTATTTTACCCCGATCGAATGCACGAACAACAGTGAAACGCACGTGTCGAATTTGTTAGCACCCGAGGCTTTCGAGTTTGTGCGTAACGGGACGATTCAAGACGAAGGATTATTGCAGTCTTTCGGCAAAGAGCGCCCCGAGGAAACACCTGGCGAACCTAAATCGCTGATTTTGGACCGTTATCGGCTGAGGCGAGAAATGGCATCGATCGTCGGCACTTATCAACACGAACGCAACGAGAATCTCGACGAGTATTTCAGGGCTGTAGGTATGTTGAACGCAACGGTTAAAAACAAATGCGGCATACCATACGATGGTAGCAAAAACAAATACGATTTTTAAGAAAAAAAGAAAAAATGTCCGTCCTGCGCTTTGAGTTGCGATTGCTTTCATTTAAGAGATACAAGAGCTAACAGGGCTTAATTTTATCACGATTTATTCTGTTTCGGAATATTTATTGTAATTAGAAATTTGTTTATACGATTCTTATAATTATTTGTACGTCTACCATATATGATTTACTATTGCGACTTTCTGTTTATGAAATATTTAGTTGATTAAATAAATGTTTAAATATTGACAACATTAATCTTGCTTATTTCGAACCTATTATCGACTTACCTCGAATAACATTACATATTTACCGACACGAAACTACACTGATCGGCATAAGAAACGTAACAATTCCCTTTCTGGTGAACAAAAAATCTAACTTGTTTGTAGAATTACCTATACAAAAAACTTCTAATTATCTTACTACATATTTATGTTCTCTGGTAGTTTTTAGCAAACTATTATCACTATTTCGTGAGTTAGCTTGTGTGAAATGTTGTTTGTAATACTTCTTATATACAGTACTGGCAAAAATTATAGCATCATTTGTACACTATAGTGAAAAACTGTCCAACTTCAAAATCAATCTAAAATTTCGATACTACAATATTTAAGCCGATTATTTACAGAAAGCCAGTTTAAGAATTTAGGAGACCTATGCAATCGTATCCTAGAAGATTATCAAAGTATTGAAAATATTGAAGAACTTTTCATACATGTTGAATAATTCATAAAGCCACGCTATAAATTGTGGTGCATTCTTGTCGAAGAAAGACATTTTGAACGGTTCGTTTAATAAGAAACTTTGGAACGCAGTATTCTTGGAAATAAAGCATTTGTGGAATGACGTATCACTATGATGAATAGAACACACTGATATAGTTTGGCCTTTTATTTTAGGGACACCCTGTATGTGTATAATAGCAACATTTCAGTATACATAGGTCACAATTAATCCAGTGTCGGTCCTCCACATCGCTGTTAGAAGATCGACTATTGTTCGAGACTTAAATAGAGTGCAGTATACATGTACATACAACATTACCTTGCATTAAGTAAAAATTATTCCCAATAAAAGCACAGTAAAAGTGATCCAGAAAGACTTCCTATACTATCGATGGGCTGTAAAAGTTCTATTCCCTATAACGTGACGTGATCATCAAAGACGAATTAATGAAGGAGAATAACATATAGTAATTTATATTAAGTTTAACATATAATAATAAAGTATATTAATTTTACATGTAGTATAATAGTATAACTAATACAGTGATCCCTGGATGAAGGCGACACGAACAACCGCGTTTTTTCTACCACTAGGGGCTCCCCTTGTGGAACCAATTAAAATAGGATAAACGGAAACTAAGCAGAGGCTCAACTTCGTGTAAAAAGAAAATTTATGAGGGACTGAAAACTTTTCCGCCTTGCCATGAATGCTCCGAAGCGGACCCGAGTATGTCGCACTCATCGAGACATTACTGTATAAACTACCCCAAAAAACTTCTTTTTCCAAAAAGAAGAATTAATACCTTTTACTTCATAAATTTCTGAAAACGACGGAAAGGGAATATTATTCGAAGATTTTTGATGTTTCACTGAATGTTGCGTTTTTGTTGCCAGTCAGTGTAAGATTATGTTGGGAGTAATTCTTGCCAATTGTATGCACTCACAGGTGTGCCGTACATTCCACGGAAAATGATGGCCATGTCCAGTCCTCGACTGGAAATACTGAATGACGGCGACATATGGACAATTCGTACCATTTCAATGATTCGCACAGTAGAAGTGACGTTTACACTCGGCGAAGAATACGAGGAACACATGCCCGCCGGGGTTACATTGAAAGTATTGTTTTCTCTTTATTCTCTCAGATATATGAATACTTATTGTACTACCAATCACAGCGCGTAGCCAACGTTACCGCGGGATTGGTCGGTGTTGTTCCTTAATATCTCGTTAACAAAGCCTCGAATAACATTTTTTCTAAGGAAAAACTTATTTCAAATCACCTCACGAGCCTCCGATTTCCGGGTTCTTCATTTTTGTTACACCCTGTATACGTCACAGGTCCATAAGTATATACGAAATTATATTATTATTTTGTACTTTTAAGTGTATTTTGTAACCAATCTCACGTTTCATTACATATTCGTATTTGATATTGTATTCTTAAAAAAAGAGAATATTTTCCGCGTTTACGTAAACGTTCAGTAACGGCCGCACAAACTCATTGTCAGTCCAGTAGACTCTAACTATATTTCCACTAAACATATTGCCACACGAGGTACTTTCCCCTCACAAGTACTTTCGACCACACAAATTCGCTCTCCCACTACGTTGCCAGCGCACCAGCACGAAACAGCTTCTGCGCAGGCGCTGAGGTCGACGCTATGACGATAGAATTTAGCATGGAGGGGCTCCGAACTCATTGGCATTTTACTCCCCTACAGCCCCGACCATGGCAATATAGTTAGATTCCTTGAGAAACTTTGCTCATTTTCAGACGCCTCAAGGTGATTTATATACCCCTTAAAAGCCGAAATGTTCGCATTTTGGATCATCGTTTTAAGGACCTAAGAATTTGGTTTGAGCTTTTATTAACAATTTTTTTACAATTTTAAAAAATCTGACATTTTTTAATGTCATATAAAATGTACTAGGAATTAAATTTTATAATATTTAATCTAGTACTTTATTAACGAAATGTAATATTTACATTATTTGTGATAATATTTATAATATACGCAGTAGGAACTTATCTTTACACGAATCTAATACAATTTTGAATACTTTCGTGCACTTAAAAATAATTAACAAAGTTCAGCTTCTGTTTACCAAATACCTCAAAATGTTTCATCTTTAAAATATTTTTTTATAATAACGGTGAAGCCCTAGCATTTGATTCGTTCAGGATCTATTTATGCACATCCACGCTATCTTTCACACTAGCTTTCATTAAAAAAAGATGTTTCGTCAATCCAACCCAACTGAATGATAATCCTTTGAACGTTTTGATAATCCGGATGACGTATATATACGTTCTGTATATTTATGTAGACATATATAATAGACTGCATAGTTTTATGGTACGCCTAAAGGCGGCATAAGAGGGAGACGGCAATAACTGGAACCGGAACAGCTACTTCTCTTTCTAATGGGGCTGTTGGTGGACGATTCTCCTAGGGCTGTAGTCGAGGTATTACATGCGTGCAGTATCTTTTCCCCTCATTGCCCTCCAGTCGCTTTCCCCTCTTCCCTCTGTGATATGCGAACAAGAGAGAAGCTACTCCAGCGCTACTTCTGTCCTTTCGTTTCGACTTCATCCCTACCATAAAACCGCGGAGTATATTATATATGTCTATGGTCATACACATGGGACACATATACACCCGGGAAAACTATAGTAGCATAGATATAGAAATATAAACTTCGTATCTCCCTTACACAGGCGTCCCAAGTTTAGACTGAGGTATACAGCTTCCGGAGAAGTTGGCATCTCTTTTTAAATTCAAGTAGTGGGGGTGAATGATTGACTCAGCTATATTAGAAAGGGTTAGCAAGTCCTCCGAAAGTAACCTGTCTCTTTATAAAATTGGGACTAGTCTATATTTTTGTGTCTATGGAAAAACTACAGTAGACATAGAGTTTAACTCTCTGAATACGGCGCCGGAGTCATTTCCAGCTCGAAAGCGACACGCACACAAGTGACAGAGTTAGTGGTGGAGACCAGTGTTGCCAGATTGGGTGATGTATCGCAATTTGGGCGACTGATTTACTAAAAATGTGATGAATTTTCTTAATATGTGTCTTATATATCTATTCTTTGAATGTATCATACTAAATTATATGTCTATTCTTTGAATGTATCATACTAAATTAAGTACTTTAATTTAACCATCCCGTGTTAACAACACCACCTTCATAACTTTTTTGACAGCGCTATGTGATTTTGGGTGATTTTATACAACTATGTTTGTAAAAATCTTATAAAAAATCTGGCAACATGGGTGGGGACACGTAGCTCCGAGAACTACACACACACACACAAACAGTGAGAGAGCTGTCTCTCTGTAAATTGGAAACGGACCAACGTTTCTTGAGATATGGCAACGGGCAGACCGGACTGAGACGCCGCAGAATACTGATTCTTATCTTCGGCTCACTTCCTATTTATTTTTCACTCGCTATCCTTTATTTCTAGCCAAAAAAACTTCTGTAGTTCGTTCGAAAAGTCGCGATCGAAATGCAAGACGTGTCCAACGAGTCAGAACATTTATTTTAAAAAAGATTAGTTTTTATTGTTTTTACTGTATCTCTTACCACATTGTATGCGGATTACCTGGCGTAACGCGGGTCATTCTTACGGACTTGGCTGCGTCAGCAAGGTATTTCGAAAAGTCGTTCTAATTACTCCGGTAATTAAATGACTCCGGCGCCGTATTACTAATTTACTGTAACATTTTAGCTACTCTTCTTTTTTTCACTATTCCCTCGATGTCTTACTATCAAAATACATTTTTTATAGATACTAGATATTTTTTTAAGGTTAACAATAAAAAAACACTAAATATTATATTTTTTGGTTCAAAAATCGGTTTATAAGGTTATATTCTGTACAAAACAATATATTTAAAACTTTAATAATATTTCATGGTATGGTACCGTTTAATTCCAAACGATATGTAAAAAAACGTACTAGTATGTGCTCCGCGAACTATCGACAGTGTACGAGACACGTACTAGTACGTGTTCCGCAGACTATCGACAGTGTACGAAAAACGTACTAGTACGTGCTCCGTAGACTATCGACAGTGTACGAAACACGTATTAGTACGTGTTACGCAGACTATCGAACATGTACGGAAAACGTACTAATACGTATCCCGCATACAATATGTTAACCAGGTAACAATAACAGACATGCTCCGATATACAATTTTTGTGAGAGGCATGTTTATTGTTGCCATAATATAAATTAATGGGTGTGCTTCCGATAAGATCCACCCTCCGATTTTCATGAAACTTGGTACAGCCGGTCACAGGTTTACCAAGTTTCATCAAAATCGAAAACTAGGACCATTTCGGAACCGCAGCCATATAGAATCCATATATTTTTTTATAATTCATATGGTTTTTCTATTGTATATGTACATATAATGAAAATCCGAATGCAATACAGAACCGACTATGCATTATATAGTACAGCGGTTCCTAACCTAGGATACGCATACCCTCACGGGTACATACTTGGGGCTTTATAGGTATATGAAAAAAACTGAAGTAACAGGAACTATATAAATTACAACTATTTTTCTAATATTAGGGGGCACAATTTAAGAAAATGCCTGTCAAGTAGTATACAAGTTAAAAAAGATTGGGAACCGCTGACATAGTAGTATATACATACATATATTGGTGAGCGTCTCGAGCTCTAGCGACCGTCACTATGTTAGTATATAGACTATCGGCATGGGTCAGGTTAGAATAGGCTCTGGCATCGGGCTCCGTGGTTCAATACTCGGAAGGTTAAAGCACAGGGTTGTAGAGGGCTAAATTTCCAGGCACCCAATGAAACGCGCGCTCTCCCTGTCGCTTATTCGTTCACTTGTACGACGCAGTTATATACAGGGTGAGCTGGATGTACGCATTTTTTGATCACATTAACTATCTTCGTTATTTTTAGAGATATCACAAAAGTTATTTAGTATTGAAACATGTTTTTAAGACAATATTATCCAGGGTATCCCAAAGAGATGGGACAACGTGGATAATCCTTATACAAATACAAATCGAAAAATCCTGTACCGTTTTTTTTTACTTTTTCGATTTGTATTTGCATGAGGAATATCCATGTTGCGAATTGTCCTATCTTTTTGGGACTTCCTGTATATACCGCACTTTTTGCGATGAAAAGTATGCAAATTAACCCTCCGAGTACTGAACTTCAGAGTCCAGTGGCAATTTTTTTACCCACGCCTATAATCTACTAACATAGTCATATGTATGTGTACTATGTAATGATTAGCTGGTTCCGCATTACATTTGGATTTTCGTTCTACTTATACTAGATAGAATAACCTCGCAAGTTATAAAAAAATGATATTCATTCATTTTTTATATTAGGTACTGTTGTACATGAAAAACATACAATCTGACAACTTCGTACAGAATGATCGTTACAAACATGCCTCCTACAAAAATCACATACAGTTGCATATTTATTGTTGCTCCCTATGCACGAGCAACATCTGGCTCGCTTCTGACCCGTTGCTTTCGGCTTCTTTATTATTTTTCGGCCAGTCGCTTCTATGGCAAACAGTACACTTTTGTGTAATCCTGCTTCACCCTTTTCAAATTCCGTTGCACGATTGTCAATGTGTTCTGCAATCAATGTTTTTATTAATTCTTGTAAAAATAACTTCCTCTTCTTTTTCGCTGATAGTTTCCCTTCCCATCCAGGGTGCCTAGTATTCCATATCACAAATGCATTGTACGCCGCAACATCTATGTAGTACATGAACAGTGACAATGGCCAGCGGCGGGTGGCACGTCTGCAAGAATACTCTCGTACAATTTTGTCGAAGACTTCAACCCCGTTCTTGGTTGAATTATAAAAATTAAGAATCTCCGGCTTAAATTTCTCCTGTGTTGATGAAATACTATATTCGTGGTGTAGTGAGGAAACTAGGATCACGGATTTTCGCGGTTCGGGGATGTACGATACTAATGTTAATTTGTCCGTAGATAAAAACTGCGAGGAATATTGTTCCCGGGTTTCAACTTCTGTTAATATTTTCGGCAAGTCTTGCTTATTTTTTTTTAATGTTCCGACCAAAAAAATGTTATCTTCTAGTAATTGTTCTGCTAGCTTAAGATCGGTAAAAAAACTGCCCGTTGTTACGCAACGGCCTGAGTTTTTCCAGAAATGTGTTAAGTGTTTTACTACACGTTGTCCTTGTCGTTTTTCTGGAACTGTCCCACTTGCACCCAGGTATACTTCCATATTACAACAGTAGTAACTCTGTGAATCGCATAGTGCCCATATTTTTATGCCATACTTGCCACGTTTATGTGGCATACACACTTTGAACGAACACTGACCCCTAAATGTTATCAATTGTTCGTCCACACATCCAACGTCTGCTGCATTGTAGGATTCCTGACAATTTTGTGTAAAAATATCTGTAATACTTCTTAGCGGCGCCAATTTATCGTAAACTTTTCTTGCTTCGCGCGTGACAGAATCATCGAACCGAATATACTTTAGGATCTCGGTAAATCGATCACGCGACATTATTGCTCTATATATTTGTCGCGAACATGCTTCGTCCGTCTTCCATATATCTTTCTTACACTCTCGCGATTCTTTGTATCTTCCCATAACTAACAGAAGTCCCAAAAACGCATTGATTTCTCTACGATCTACAGGTTTCCACCTTCTGTGTGCCGGTGTACTCGCATTTGCCTTCATATTCGTATGTAAAATAATAATCTCAAGGATTTCGTCATTTATAAATAAACGAAAACACTCATCTATTGATTGTACATTTTCACTTTTGCTCGTTAGTGAATTCGTTTGTAATAAGTTTTGTTCTGACATAATATTATTAGGAGCAATGTGCTGCCAATCACGATCACATGCAATTTCATCTTCAGACATCATCGTATCCTCATCGAAGTCCGAATCTTCAAATTCAGGCTCGGCATCGCTGTTCGATGTACCGCCACCGTCCGATGATTGATCGTCGTAGTCATTGTGTTCCTCCAAAGAAGAATAAAAAGAGCCTTTGCTTGTTGATGGCACAGACATTTTGTCAATACAGTTAAACAATAGAAACAATAAACACAACAAAAAAGATATAAATAACACAAACAATAACAAAAATAGACTTTTACAGAATATCTGAACTAAATGCGAACGTCTTTCTCATTCAAAGTATTAGGACAAACTATTCCGTGTCGTCTGTTCCCAGAGTCCCCAGTGTCGCCAGGCGTAGCTACTTTTCGGCATGAAATTTGTGGTGTTTTGTAGAGGTCTAGGGGACTTGTCTTGCGTAGACAGACCATACACGCTCTGCACACCGTGTGGCGTTTATTGGTACTAATCGTGGCGACGTCGACGCTTGAAGAATCTAAAGGATCCTTCAGATACATGTACTATTGACGAAATGTAAAAAAAAATAATAATACAGAAATTATTTATTTACGCAATAATTTTGGTAAATTGAAGTAATACGTATGCGTACTATAATATACGTGTATGTACCCTTACGAGCAAACTCGGCTTCCGCTAAGGTAAAAAGTGGCGTAGGTGTAAAGACCTGCTTACCACTTTGTAAATTTATTTCAAGTAGTGAAATAAATATTCACGGCAATGCACATTTGGCATGCATTTCAGTAACTCCCGAGATCCTAGTGATAGGAGCTTTGCACGATCTATTTACATAGTGCTTTTTACCAGGGAAGATTAATTTTAAATGCTGAATTTCCTTGTGACCGCAAAGTGATTAGCATATCGGTAGAATGGAAAAAAAACGTTTTGCCCCTATTGTCTTTTGTATTCACACACTGCTTCTCTGTTTCGGTTTAGAATGTGACTACAATGGAGGAAGACAGTCTAGTGACAGTTTCAGTCGGAGCAGGTAACAACAAAGTGGTGCGGAAATACGAAGTTATAAAGGACGGTGTACTTTTGGTATGTTCCACTTGTTTGTGTTCGTACAATTTTTCAAAGCTGAAAAGACCCTTCAATCTATTTCAACAGATTGCATGAACAGTTTGAGAATCAGAGAATCCACTTAATCTTTATTCTTAAATATGTAATTAACTAAACATAAACCGAAAATACGATTAAATAAAAATATATGGACAATAAAATTGGTTAGAGACAGTTCAAGAAAAAAAAAGTAATTCAGAGTTGCTTCCACCGTCTGATTTTTCGTTTTAGTGATAAAATGAAGCTATTTAAAAAAACCGCAGTGAAACAGCTAAAATTGAGAAAATCCGCTAAACTGCATAATCACCTTATTTTTAAAAAGTGTTTAGACAATACGTATGCCATTTCCGACAAAAACGGATACGATATTCGTATTCAGTACGAGAAAACAAGTAGAATGATCTTTATTATTGTATAAAACGCTTGGGGGGGGGGGGGGCACTAGTAAAGTCTACCAAAAATTGCAAACCTGAATTATTTAAAAATATTTTGAGAAAAATAAATGATCCCTTTTTATATTGATGCATGTATAAATGTACGCAAAATAACAGTAGTACAAATATTAATGTCATCATTCTCTATTTTCAGACAATGACCCACGAACAGAGTGGCCAAGTAGCAAAACGCTATTTTAAACGTCTTTCATAAACAATGGCGAAATTCACAATAACAACGACAATGTTTTCATATGACATTATATTCGTATCACTGAACCCTGTAATGTTTTCGTATCATTATGGCCCGTTAGTAGCTTTTTAAACTGTATTTCTAAACGCACAAAGTAAACGGCAGAGAAAGGTAGCACGCAAGAACGAACAAAAACAACATGACAAATGCCTACAGTTGCCAGAGGAAAAAAGCTGTGGATCGATCGTAAACGTTCCTACTGTCATTCAAAGCATGTGCCCCGCCTTCTTTAGACGGTTGTCACGTGTTGCTCCAGATGACAAATGTGAATAAACAATGATTGTATTGTCGCTGTAAAAATAAGAATAAATTCTTGATCGAATTCGCATAAACCTCTATGTTATTTTTTCACAAACTGCACGATTAATCCTCCGAAGTATAAAGATGGAAAGCCATGTGACCGAGAGGAAATTGTTAAAAGTTGTTTATAAGACCTAATATCGAATCTATATCGTATCTGTTTATATTCAGCGCCGGCCGCTGTGGGAGCTATCACGAATAAACACGACCGATGTCCACCCACGCACCGACACATTGCAATACCCGATCATTTAAAAGTATATTCACTTACATTTGGCTCAGATATTGTAGAGTAACGTTGATAATCTCACCGACGATCTCAGCGTCGGTGACGTTGTACGAGCTCACTGTTACAGGCAGCTGATCGTCAGGATTCATCTTGGCAACAAATTCGACGAAAAAACGGTGATACGCTCCGAGATAATCGGCGTTGATGCAATCTTCCGCCATGGTTTTCTATCCTCGTAAAGAATTCCACTGACGAACACTGACGCGCACTTTCCCTCTGCACAAAGAAAACAATCCTCTGCCACAGGACAGCGATTCTAAACGCTTATGAGGAGACGTTAACACGATACTTGGTGGCTGTATCTTGACGAGTTACATTACCACACACGGAAACACGAGAACGGAAGTAAGGGAGAACGAGAAAATCCGTTTGTGTATGTACATGCGTGTCAGTATACGTATATCTCTCGGATTATGAACGAAAGTGTCGGCGTTTTTTTATTTATCGTCGTACTACGATCAACCTATTCGGCGATAGGTGATATTTGTATTTAGGTTACGTCTCTCATTCAACTTCGCGTACGCACGTCACACTACAAGCTTGGTGGAATACGCATTGCTCTGTTGTGCGTTCTCGGCGAAGTGGGGAGAATTTGCCGCGACGTTTAAAACACTATCTCTCCCGCTTCTTTAAGGCATCACTTTTTTACCTTTCTTTTTACCACTGGCCACTTGCGGATTGACTAACGGAGGATAAGTGCGTAAAGGAATTCACGGAGCGGTACAGTGCGCATGTCCGTCACGGAACTCTGTGTTGTTCGTGTTTATAACACTGATCTGTATATACAGATCAGTGGTCAGAAACATGTGCTCCTCCACAAAGCGGTACAGTGCGCATGTCCGTCACGGAACTCTGTGTTCGTGTTTATAACACTGATCTGTATATACAGATCAGTGGTCAGAAACATGTGCTCCTCCACCTCTTCTTTATTATATACGCTCAGTTGTCAGTTACTATTACTCTTCGTATAATCTTTTCCTAGGGTGTAATTACGCTTCCTTTTAATTTTTTGAAATACATTTTTTCTCGAACTTCGTTGTGCGATTAAATATTAGTCGCAAATAATTGCAGGACAAAGTTTCGAATTTGTATGCGGGAAATCGCGATGAGTTTCAATGTAAAATTAGATTATTATATTATGGCATGTATTATCCCAGCAAAATTCGAATTTGAATATTGTTAAAAGACTTCTTACATTTAAATGATTCTGGTACTCTTACGTTTTATTGTGCAACTAAGCTACAAGGAATGAAATATTATAAAGTCTAGTTCATGATGTAACGTACAAGAATTGCAGTCCGTTTTTTAAATATGTACTACACAAATTGCGCTGTAAGATATTGTAATATTTCCAAGGTTACAAAAAAAGTATATATTTAAAAAAATTTATTAATACAACTGTGGAATTACTATTATGCACATGAATATTATACATTTGTAGCATAATATTTAATTTGTATGTTTGTCTCCAGATCTCTGACATTTTCAAATATGTATTACTTATAGAATTTATATGGGAAATTTGCTTAAACTGCCTAAATGGTTCATAAACTAAGTACAAGAACTTAAACTTTTTAATATTCATTTTTTCTACTACATTATTGTACAGGAACTTTTTGATTTAGATTCTTTAAGTTCATCACTTGCAATTGAGAGAAATGTGTTTTCCATTTTAGTTTGTAACCAATCGGGTAATTGTCCATTCCAGTTTTCTGGTGGTTTGTCTCTTTTCTGCCAAACATTGTTCTGGAAATGAGGTCGTAACCTTTCCATCCTACGCTTCTTCTCACCGTCTATTAAATTTGTCTATATACAAAACAATACTTTGTAAGAACATATAACACTGTAATTTAAAAATGCACAATTTTTAATAAAAATCTTCAACATACATATGCTTTTTCAGATTTGTACTTTTCCCATAGGTAACAATTATGATAATCAGTTTTCCATTGTGTGCAGTCTATTCTGTGTCCAAATACAAAGTACTGATGAAATCTTGCTCTGATGCTTCTACAATCTTTATATTCTTCGTTATATATCTCACATGGTCTTATCTAAAAGATACAAAACGTTTTTGGTAATGTCATGACAGAAATACAAAGAGCATTAAGATTCATTAGAAAGGAATCATTAATTTATATAATCATAACATAAAATTATACCATCCAGTCAAATTCACGGTGTTGATTATCTTTATTCGATGTGTCCTTTTCATCAGGCGTGTTTTTTTCTTCAGATGATGCAGATTTAGTTGTATTATCCGAATCAGGCATCTTTTCTTCTTCTTACTTTTAAAATTAAGGTTATTACTTACTTTTTTTTAACTGCACATATAACAACAGTTTATATTTATAATTGTAGATAGCAAATATACTTCAATTGTTTAAAAAAACCTAACTGATGAACATCATTCTTGCATAACACTATTATTATTTTAAAAACAAAGCATAATTAAAAGGTTCCAAGTATATATATAGTATATATTGCGTAATACTCACGATAAAAACCGTTGCTAATATATACCTATTCTCTTTATAACATCGTAATGCGTATAAAAATTAAGAAAAGAAAAACGATATTTAAAATGAGCGTGAAAACATTTTTTTATTTTTTTGTGATTCTGAACAATTTAAGTCACTGTCAGTCACTGTTGCAAGTTTCATCATTTAAAGAGTGTTAAAGAGTAAAGAGTAATGTAGCTGTAAATCTGCCTTAAGCAAATCCCTATTTGACATAGAGACATATATAATAGACTGTGCATTCTTATGGTAGGGATGAAGTCGGCACTAGAGAGAGAGCGTGCAGCATTCCCTGCATTCCTACATTTCCTACTCCTCATTGCTCTCCAGTTGCTTTCGCCCCTAGCCATCCCTAACTTTGCGATGTGCGAGCAAGAAAGGATGAGAGAGGAGCTACTCTATCTCTGCTTCTGTCCTTTGGTCTCTACTACATCCGTACCATAAGACGCGTAGTTTATTATATATGTCTATGGTTTATTCGTTAGAAATTTTTGTCAGTGGTGCTCATGTTAACGTAACTTCACAATATTACATTTTAAATTTTATTCAATTTAATGCAGTACTTTGAGGACTCTTTCAATTAGTATAGATGTATTTGTGTCTAATTTAATTAGATAGAAGTGACTGAATGTCTTCGAAACTGGAAAAATATTTTTCATTAATAATGAGTATCACTGGTTTTCGCCATTCCTTTCGCGCCCCTATGTTCTGTCTTGGACGTATCATCTTGGTATTATTATAGTCTCGTTCTTGTCTTGAATTGGAAGACGTTTACGATTGCACTGTTGAAATTGGTGACTGCTGTCAGTTTCCTAACCTCTCCACTAACGAATGTCCCGGTGTTTTGTGTTGTGTTCAATTAATAGTGACTTATAATCGCGTAACATGATGTCGCGGTCAGTGCGTGCAGAGACTCGTAGTCGTGCCAAGGATGATATTAAGCGTGTAATGCAAGTTGTTGACAAAGTTCGCCATTGGTAAATCTCTTAACATATTATAGATGCACGAGGAAATGTGGGAATGTCTCATAAAAAATATGTAGAGCAAGAAAGTAGTAAAACAATATTGGATATCGAGAACGGATTAAAATTTTTAATAGTTTTGCGAGATGTAATAAAAATTTTGTATTACACATGTCAGCTGTAAACAGGCCCCTATAGTTCTGAAATATTTCATGGGTGTTGATTGTGTGTTCTATGTCTGCTTTTTTAATAACAGTAAAGAAGGTAGCTTCTCTGTCTGTCGTTTTAGTAATGATCCAAAGAGTATGTTTTTCATGTTGACATTCTTATAGGGAAAAAAAATGGGTTACAATAGGGGAAACTACTATGAAGATTTATAAGTGGGTGCCTATTTCAACGCTTGATCAGGTGAGTAGAAATGAAGTAAAATATGTGTGATAATACAAAGTAAAAATATGTGTATTATCATTTAGAAGAAGAAGGGAAAGACAGTCGCAGACAAAGAAAATGGTTTACCAAGAAAAAGTGGATTAGATTCTTCAAATTCTAATTTTGGACTTACAGAAGACTCTAATACATGTGAGATGCATCATATTAATTTATAAAATTGTTAATCTTAATAATTACATGCTTAAGAATATGTTTTTTAATATACTAGGTTTTTCAACAGTCAGCGATTCCCAAGGGTTAACAGACTTTTCTGCACATCTGGGATTTTCAGAAGATTCAAATTCACAGAATAGTGAACCAACACCAAAAAGGTTAAAGACTGATTAAAATTTATGCTGTGATTGTTATTTGGAAAATGAGATATTTAGGAAATCGTTCATATCTTTTACAAATTTGAACATGATAAGATTATCTTTAATTGCAACTGTGACTGGATAGTTTGAAAGAAATGTTCATTTTTTATTTTCCTTTGTGTTTAGTGAGAAATTTCATATATTGAACAAACAATCAGTTGTATGAAACATCTTGCATGTTTTATTTTTTTATATGTGTATATGTTACAAATCTTCATGGTTCAGTTTACAGACTAGAATTAATAATAATAATAGTTTAATAAAAAATTTGTATTGAATGTTCAGTCCGTTTTAAGATCTGTTTTGAAAAAATAAAGAAGACGTGGGCTACCATTATTAGGAACGGATTGTACATTCTTAACAATCTTTGTGTCATCACAGTATTATTTCGTTCTTGAGATATATTATATATATATATACATATATAACATTTTCATTTACTGGATAGTTATATCTCACAAAATGATTACAAAATATTGAAACATTGTAATCTTAAAAATGTATGATAGATAATGGTACATTTATTTTTGCTGTATTATAGTAACTCAGAAAAACTTATACATATGGTTATACTTATCTTCAAGGTATTTATACCTCTAAACATGATCATATGTTCAATAGTTTGTGGTAATTGATTATGATTGTATATATTTGAAATATCATTTTTTGCAATTTAATATTCTAGGGCAAATTTGCATTCCTTCAGATTATGTTATAGCACCGAGACATGTACAAAATAAGCTTTGACATTTACAAATAAAACAATATAATTGTGAACTTTTGATTTTATGTTTATACAGATTTTGTAGAATGAATGTCCTCTCGTGAAATTATGGTTGTTTTTATTTTTTTAAGAATAACTAAACATAACATTTATAATTATAATTCTTAAATATTTGTGTTTTAAAATAAAAGTATTGTATCAAATAGATATAACTTCTACACGAGAACTACATATATGAATTATTTATTATCTTAGTACCTTCCACTTAGAAGTTTTATACAAAAAAATATCTGACTGTAAAACAAAATTTAATCTCATTATTAGTGCATGCAAAGTATTTAATGTACAAAAAGCATCAGAATTATATTAAATTGTACAAATTTCTTAAAATGAATGACAGTTGTACAAAAATAGGAAATAAAGATTAATCTCCATATGCAAATAATTTCCATACCTCTTGTAATGTTAGGAAATATTAATAATTAAGGAGAGAATTTACCAAGGTATAATTTTTCCATTATATTGAATGAAACAGCCAGTGTGTTTTTCAGTTAACGAATTTAAAGTATTCAAGATATTATTGACACTTGTATCAATGTCCATGGTTGCATTACTCCCTCCCATATTTGTACGCACCCAACCAGGATGTAAACAAGTGACTAAGATTCCATCCTCCTTCAAATCAACGCTCATTGATTTTGTAGCTGCATTAAGCGCTGCCTAAAAATTCGACAAAATGTATAAAATATTTTAATTGTAGTGTTTAGAATATTACTAGTTCAGTCTACTCAGTATGTTGTGAAACTAAAAATTTATAGTAGAATTACATTCTGGTATAAAAAAGAAATAATTCTGTGAAAATATTTAATTATAAAATGCAATTTATAAGAAATACATACATAAAACTTTAGTCTTATAAATACTCAAGAATAAAGCATAGCATGAAACATTCTTGAAAAATGAAACAAGAATTACAAGATACCTAGCGTTTTGACTATACATGTATTTCACACAAAAACAAATTATGCATACATTTTTACAGAAATATATGGCAAGAATTTAAACATATAACATTATATTTCATGTTTAATATATTTGTACTTCTGGTGAATTTAGTGCATGAATATTACAATGAATTAATATCACCTTGCTGCATCTATAAGGATAAAATCCACCTGTAGTATTATCAGTAATGCTTCCAAGGATAGAGCTCATGTTAATAACTGCAGATCTATTGATGTTCATTTTTGTTTTTTCTGTACAATTATTAGCAGCAGTTTTTAGCAGTGGCAAAAGTGCCTGAAAATTAATAAAAGTAATATTTCTTTGGAACCTATAGAAGGTCACAATATGAGTTAGTTAAACAGTGTATATCATGTTACAATATTTGTCCAGGATTTGAATTCAGTGTTACACTATTTTCTTATTTTAACACTATACCACAATCAGCAATAAAATTTGCATGAAAATTTGAATTAAAATTTGTTATTAAAGAAAATGTTAAACATAATCCTAATAAATATTAAATTATTATATTGTACTTAAATTAGCATATTTATTACTAATCAGGATCGTTCTAGAATGCAGTGCTTTCGAGCCTTCTTTTTAAAAATGCAAAAGAATTTTGTTTTCTTTAACAATAAAAGAAAACAAATAAAAGACAAGATCAATGACACATAAAAATTTTAATCAAATTTACAAAAATTGTATCAATTAGTTTGAAGATAACTACAGACTATCGTACGTATTTCTGGACCCCAGAACCAAAGTGTATTAAGTCACTTTTCAAACTTTAAAGGAGAGCAAATAAAAAATGATTATTTAATTAAAAAAATATTATCTTCTGAACTAAAAGAAAGGAAAAATAAACTCACCCACATAGTACATGACGCCTAATGACGCCTTGAAGACGGTTTAAAGGCGCCTTAGACCTAAAATAGTCGTAAAATGGGTAACTTCATGGCGTCATTTGCTATCTGGTCAATACGAAGAAAAGTTTCCGAGATAAAAATTCATAACTACCTAGACCCCGGTTTCATTAAAATAGGAAAAAATTGCAAACTTTGACGGCTTGTACTTAAAAAAAAAATGCGATACCCTGACGTCGAGAGCAAAAAGTGATTGATTTGGCGTGTAATAACCCATTTGCTATTAAAAATTAATTTTCCAATTAATTTTAAATTAGAAACAAGTTATCCTAATCCTATATTTTCTATATTTAATAGCAGCGGTTATTGCCCATTTATCCTTTTACAATTCTTTCTGTTCTTGTGTAAAATAGCGCATGGTACATTATAGGAAGGGAAAACTAAGAGTTTCGGAAATGTATGAAAATAAAATTATTTATATTTATCCAATCTGTCAGAATAGGAGTATTCTGATTGCTCAATAGTCGTGAATATTTAACAACTTCTTCGGGACGAGCGGTTCGGTTATTTTTTTGTCCATTCTTGCTTTATATTGTTTGGTTCGGAACAAAATATGAACTTAACATCATTTTTAGACAATTATATTAAAAATTAGACAACTTGGAACGAACTAATTTTTACCATCGGAAAGAGAGAAATATTTGATACAGGAAACATGTGAAATGTCATTTTTAGAAAAAAGTGGACTTGTACACTGTGGCTGTGGGGTTCAGATTTGTATTGTATATCACACAGGAATTAGTTTTAGTTGTTACGTTTGTTATCTAATTATTAATCAAACATCATATTTACACAATTTTTGTAAGACGGACTTACTTTCGTCAGTAATATCGGCGTTACTGTATTTATCAAGAACGTTTCTGTAAGTTGTTCTTCCCTTACAAAACCGAGTCGTGTGAATTTTGTACTGGCTCCAGCATTGTTAAACAATACATTCAGCCCATCATTGCCCACTTTCTCACTCACAGTTTGTACTATTTTATTGTGATCCTTTGTATCAACTAAATCTTTAAACAAAAAAATAAAACATATATAAGTGAGAAAATTGGAGTAAATACTTCTGATAGTATTATGTGTGTTAATTTTTTTTGGATGTCAATGTATGCGTATATTATTATTTTCATGCAATAATTAATCTATTTGATAAGAAAATTATTTTCTGTTACTCTCCTTTGAACATTATAATTAACATTTGCTTATTGAAATATTTTGTAAACTTAAAAGATGGTACTCTAGTGTAGACGGTCGCTTTCGATGTCATGTTCAGGAATTAAATTAGAGAAAACTATCAAATTATTGTTATTTGTCATACACATGGAGTTATGGTTTACCGCGAATGTTTTACTTCTACACTATGGCAACTGTTTCGATCAATACAATAGTATTTTTCATACAGTCACTGCGTGGAACATATTTTCCGCGTATGCAATACACTTTGTTCTACACTTCTTAAAATATTAACTGAATAATTCGTATTTGTTTTACTTCAACTGAAACTGACATTGTTCACGCAGGTAAGTTACGTCTCTTTTCTTCGCTGATTGCATACTACATCATCACGCGTGTTCTTTATTTTGCTGAAATTAATTAATTAGAAAATATTGTGTCCATCAAATTTGTGCATTTATCTTATCACAAGGGATAATGGGGGGGGGGGAGTTATCTGTAAACATAAGCAACGCAAAAAGGTTACAAAAAATTAGAAGACTATTCTGTCCTCCTTAGCTTAATTGTCGTAATTGAGACAAACACTTCGCAAACATCCCTTGTCAGTCAGGGAATTTTGTCCCAGTCAGGAAAATGATCATTTTCGACTTTGTAGCTCTGTAAATTGTTAAATTAAGCTGAATTTTACGGGATAATGTATTTCACGTACAAATACCTGCAAAACAACTGCAAAATCGAAAATGGTCATTTTCTGACATTGAGACTTACCTCTGACCACCAATAAGTCAAAGTTACCCCAACTACGGTATCTTTTTTGAATGAAGACAAAGCATTCAGTTTGATTTTATTTTCTTGTTTATGTCCGAGGCCAATAATCTGCCGGGTTAACTACTTTAAAATTCGATCATTCTCGTTTATCATAAAAACAATATTTCGGAGTTTATCGCTGAACGTCTTCGTCAGCCATTTTGATTTAATAATTCTCTAGGTATGATTTCCAATAAAATCTGTACATAAAGATCTCTATTCCATTAACTATCTTTGTATAGTTGTAAATAAGCCTCCCCGACTTGCGTAAGATCAAGATACTTGACATTCGGCCGGTGAGAAAAAATGTTAGACCGCTTATTATTATCAGATAGCAGATCACCGCGTATCGATTGGCACGGTGTCAATGAAATTTCATCGTTTTCCACGGCACAAGAATACCGGTAATTAAATCCCGACCCCGTGCGCGACAGTGGCGTAAAAATTTCGTTGTAGAAAGACTCCTGTATCCCGGTTTTCGTAACATGAAATCTGATGGCTCGACGAAAAAGAAATCATGGCGTTTGTGCTGCCGAGGGAAACCGCAGACCGTGGACTCCGATTTGAGCGACCAGGAACCGGCTGAGCACACGATTTCTCCGAACGAGACTGCAGAAACGCAACAGAACACCACTGGTAAGCGTTCAGAAGTAATAGTGATCAGTTATTTTTTTTAAATTCATTTTAACGGATCTAAGATACATTGCATCGACGATTAGAAATGTTTACACAAACCGTCAGTTATGTTGTACGATCACGTTCCATCCCAGATAACACATGACGCTTTGAAGACGCCCATTTTACGGCTGTTTTAGGTTTAAGACGCCTTTAAGTCGTCTTCAAAGCGTCATTAGGCATCATGTGCTATCTGGGATCCATCTAAAAGTTTCTAGTATTTAGTGCAACTTATCGAAAAACACTTGCTAAGAACGTCATATCTGTCATTCGTGTTTATACGTAAATAATGAATGTCGGTTCCATGTACGTATTCTTTTTTACGCGATGCTTATTCAATCCATTTGAGGCGGATCTTTTTTTTAAACGTTTCGTGCCACGCCAATTTTATATGTCGTCATCCACATTTGTCATCGATGAGCCATGCGGCAGTTCTATTATATTTATAAGTAAAATTTATTTCGTATTGTGATTCAAGTTTTACAAAACTTATTATTATATAATGAAAATCATTTTATAATGAAAATTAACTGATGATAAATAGGCGATGAAAGGAAACAATGAATAAGAATTTGCATTTATTCCATTGCACAAACGCATTAGACCTGTAATAGCCGTAAAATGGACGTCTTTAAGGCGTCATGTGCTATTTGGGTAAAAATCAACTGAGAAATTAAAGTAATCTATTCTTTTACTAGGCCCAGTTTTTCAATAAATTAATTCTGAAAACGAGATCAGCATACGTGCCCAATGACGCAATGAATCGCGATGTTATTGAATTGTAATAACTGATTAAATCCATTCTTTTAGTTATATCTAGATAATATACTATGATAATATGGTACTTGGCTTCTACGTACAATGACTCACACATTCGTTCACATACCTTCGAAATAACAGTCAAGTATAAAAGTTTGTATGCAATTCGTATTTATGTTTGCGAACTATATTTATTCTTATCGTCCTTTTGTGATGCATTTTCCTTAATTTTTAAAAAGAAATTCGTAGTTTAGCATGGAATTTGGTCGAATAAATATGAGACTTCCGTGAACAAATTAGTCACTGTACTTATAAGGAAGTAATGCCTATAATATTTTTATTTATCATTAAGTTGTACAAAAAATATTAGAAGAATATAAATAAACAATTGAATTTAGAATAGTATTTTCTTTAAATCAATTTCCGGTTTTATTTATGCACACTACCTAGATCGTTTTAGGCCTCAATAAAATCCTGCATCATTATACAATAATTAATCCTACATTATTATAAACTTTTGAAGGTGGTAAAGAGTTGTAAATTGTTCCCCGCGATAAAGACGTTAATCTATATGCATTCCACTTGAAAATTTATAACGATATGGTATCATACATACCTATTTCGATAATATGAAGATTTTCCGATTTCTCGGCAAGTGCGGTTAATTCCTGAAATAAATTGTGGACCTCTTAAGTTCGTTAAAAAAATGGCAATAAGAATGTTCTGGGTTGCAATCATTATCAGTTACTTTAATGGGAGCAAGTCCTTGAGGTTCGTTTCACTTATAAACGATCTAAAGAATCCATGAATTATTCGAGAACATACTAACGTGGTAGCTGCGATTTTACCGATTGCAAAAATATGCGAAGACTTTTACGTAATAGCAAGATAATAAAAGAATATGTTTAAATTTCAAAAGTAAGCCTCATGCCATCAGGACGAAATTTTCATGAGAGTTGATCGGCACGATTCTTCCAAATCAGAACTGGACCGGAGAACCGGTTTCTAAAGATCATTTTGTAACAAAATCCGCAATGACTTGCACGTCATCGTTTACTTGCGTAATCGAACAACCGCGTAATAAATGAGTCAGTATAAACGAGACTTAAAACTCAAGTGCTTGTAGCAACCGTATAACAGATGGCGGTGAACGAACGAAGTAGGCGTCAGTTCGCTCTTGTCTTTCAGTCTCAAGAAATCGTTCGAGTGTAGTGTGTCGAGTCCTTAACGTTCTTCCAGAGAGAAAACTATTAGTTATATATTTTTTTGTGACGTCGACCAAACAGCAATAGTAAAAGCAGAGAATGGCACCGATTGGTAAGTCGAATTTGCGAAACGTATCCGGTTATTGCGTAATGTTCTTTTTCATTTACTTTGCGGCCAATCTTACCCTTGCTTTATTCACGTCTCGGCAAGTCGCGAAAATATTCTGTGGTGGTTGCGTCTGGTTCACCAGGTGTTTCACTAAACCCAGACCTATTCCACGGTTACAGCCGGTGATTAGGATCGACTTCATCTTCTGCCGTGATTTACTTTACAGAGTTTTCTTTAATACACTCGCGATTTTAGAGCAATTTTATTATCGTGTGTGGAGAGACACGAGTGTCATCATCGGGCTGACGTCACGTGGCCGTGATCGGCTAACGATAATCATGGCGACGTTAACGCTGCTCGCGAGATTTGTGTCATTTCGTTTTGCACACGCCAAATTGCTCGAGTTACCAGGGTCCAGGTGTAACGCGTTCCCTTATGGTCGAACTATGATGGCCTGCATGTGCAGTGAGTGTCGAGATTTCCTGATATTTATATGCAAATGCGGCCTAATTTTGGTTGTTGACGTTCGATAAAAACGGTTTTGTATAGATGACAGCTAATCGTACTACCGACAAGGTTAAAATGCCTTGAAACAAATTAACGTAATTCGACGATTTATTAGTTGAAATATAATTGATGTACACGCGATTAAAAGGGTGACCTGGTTTCCATATTCTTTTCGAATTACTCCTATGTTTTCGTGAAAATGAAAGTTGATACATAACCTTTTCTTCTATGTCACTATCTAACCTTCATCCACAAAAATTTCTTTCTTCTATTTATTCTAAGTATATTAATAACTTTTAAATAAAGCATTGTTATGTATTCTGGAGGATTATTTCTTCTTTTGCAGCGGATCCAAAATTTATGTATGATTTACTTGTGATTGGCGGTGGTTCTGGTGGTTTAGCTGCAGCAAAAGAGGCAGTGAATCTAGGTGCAAAAGTTGCAGTTCTTGATTTTGTGACACCGTCTCCACAAGGTACAACATGGGGTTTGGGTGGCACTTGCGTGAACGTTGGTTGTATCCCAAAGAAATTGATGCATCAAGCTGCTCTACTCGGAGAAGCTGTTCATGTGTGTTGTTTTTTTAATATATATATATATATATGTATATAATCTGTGAAATTTGAGGAGCATTGTGACATCATAATCTTGGTTTTTAGGAATCAACTTTCTATGGTTGGCAACTGCCAGATCCACAAACTATTAAACATGACTGGGCAGCATTGAAAACTGCAGTACAGAATCATATAAAGTCTGTGAATTGGGTCACACGTGTTGATCTTAGAACACAGTGAGTGTTATTATAATTTCATTAGATTGTATAGAAATGACTTGCAAATGTTTGTATATGTTAGTATTTTAATCTTAATATTTCACTTTGTGTTTCTCATTACTTAGTAATAATTTGTTGTCGAATATTTATTTCAATGTTCATCAGATACCATAATGCATTAATATTTTTCAAATTATCTTTTCAAATACTAAGGACAATGTAATTCATGAAAATTTAAAGAAACCATTAAATCCATCGAATAAAAACATCTACTTTTTTAAAAAATTGTTGATACTGAACATGAATATGAATACTTAATATTATAATTATTTTATGTTGATTAAAATGACATTGGAACTTATATTATTCACATAGTTACTATGATTATTAACCTAATATATATGAAATTAACATTTTGTCTTAATTTATAATGATATTTATTCTGTTATTTCAGAAAAGTTGAATACGTCAATGCACAAGGATATTTTAAGGATCAACATACAGTATGCGGAAAGATGAAGAATGGGCAGGAAAAAGAATTTACAGCAAAAAATATTTTAATCGCTGTGGGTGGTAGACCAAGATACCCTGATATTCCTGGTGCTGTAGAATATGGTATAACCAGTGATGACATTTTTAGTTTAGAGAAAGCTCCAGGAAGAACGCTTGTTGTTGGTGCAGGATGTATCCTTTTTTCATGAAAAGTGTGAATGTTAATTTTTTGGTTTCCCTTTTATATAATTAATCTGCTTTTCTTTAATAAATAAATAGACATTGGTTTAGAGTGTGCTGGATTCTTGAAAGGTTTAGGGTACGATGTGACAATAATGGTACGTTCTATCGTCTTAAGAGGATTTGATCAGCAAATGGCAAATATTGTTGCTGACGAAATGCAAAGACGCGGTGTGAACTTTGTTTACAAGGCAAAACCTGCGAAAATTGAGAAACAACCTGATGGTAGCCTTCACGTACACTGGGTGGATGAGGTATATTTTAAAGTTCATTTCAGTTAATACGATGATTTCATATAAATAAAACTCCGAATTGCAAATGATTCTAGCACGGCAAAATACATGAAGATGTTTATGATACTGTTCTTTTTGCTATTGGTCGTAAAGCACTTACGGAGGAATTGAAACCCGAGAACATCAATCTCAAACTTGTTGCTGAAACTGGAAAGATTGATGCAGTGGATGAACAGACGAATATTCCAAATGTATACGCTGTCGGTGATGTCCTTCACGTGAGTTTCTTATCCTTCGTGTTATGTATGTTAAATTATTACAAAATTATCTATTATTGTATTCAATTGTTCTTGAAAGTACAAAAAAAAAAATTATTTAAACTTAAGTTCAGCACTGTTTATGTATTTTTAGAAAAAACCGGAGTTAACACCTGTTGCTATTCATGCTGGCCGACTATTAGCAAGAAGATTATTTGGAAATTCAACGCAACAAATGGATTACATTAATGTAGCGACAACAGTATTTAGCCCCATGGAATATGGTTGTGTCGGTCTCAGTGAAGAGGCAGCGATTGCAATTCATGGAGAGGAAAAGATAGAAATTTACCACATGTACTATAAACCAACGGAGTTCTTTATACCACAGAAGGATGTTTCTAGTTGTTACTTGAAAGTTGTCGCTTTTAGAGGCGGTGACGAAAGAGTACTTGGTATGCACTTTGTTGGGCCACATGCTGGTGAAATTATCCAAGGCTTCTCTGCTGCTATGAAGTATGTATCAACTTATATTTCGTGGGGCAATGTTAATTACAAGTCTTTTTATTCCGTATAATTTGTTTCAGATGTAATTTAACATTCCCAAAACTAAAGGAAACAGTTGGTATACACCCAACGGTCGCGGAAGAATTTACTCGTGTAAATATTAGTAAACGTTCGGGACTTGATCCGAAGCCACAGAGCTGTTGCAGTTAAAGCACATGTATAATGTAGACTTTTGGCTGATTGTGAATATTTTTAAGTACTGTCAACAGTAAACGTACTATGTGCTTGTGCACACTAATCATTCGCCTCGAAAGTAATTCACCGAAGGAGGCTCTAAACCGAAAATATTTTGTTATTAAGTCCAAATAAGAGAATTTTTTAGAATACTGCAGTATTTTCAAAAAAAACATTGTAGAGCAATTGCGACGCATTATGTCGTACAAGATGTTTGCTTCTTTTGAAGCATGTATTATTGACTGATCTGCGATGTTGTACTTAGTAACTTTTATAAATATAATTTTTCACAGTAACAAGATAATCCTGATGTATACATTCGAACACAAAATAAATACCGCTTAAATTATGGGTAAGGTAATTTATTTGATAATGGTTTCTACGGGGACATAATTTTATGTCAATAGTTTTTTTTGTAGGTGGAGGCGTAGAGGACATATTAAAATCAATCTTATTTTTGTTAATGGAAACATGTATTTTTAATGCATTAGTCGATGCACCCTGATAACCAGTTGTGTACAAGTTTCGAGCAAATTGCCAGCAATAAATGACAAAACCCAGATAGCACACAGACGACTTAAAGGTGCCTCAGACCTAAAATAGTCGTAAAATGGACGTCTTCAAGGCGTTATGTGCTATCTGAGAAGTTGTCTAAACAATTTTTTTTATCAATAGTCGATGAACATTATACAGTGTGTTCTCATTTAGAAACCTTGAAACATAACTGAAATTACTTGTGCATTGACCTAATTATCACTATGTACAAATAAAATTTTGAAATTGTAATATCTCAGCTAAGAAGCCTCAATTTCCAAAATGTCAGAGAACTGTTTGATTTACTATATTTCAGAATGTTCTATATTCTTGGGATACCTTGTTTAATTTTAAACATTCTTTTAACTGACCCCGACCGGAAGCTACAATAATGTTGGCATTTGGGGTATCAGTCGGTTTGAAATTAAGTTTTGAATACAAACTCCATGTAGTGGAAGATCTTTTGATTTCGTCCACGACAGGCTGAGCTCCTAGCGTTGGCAACCAAATAGCGACGCTAGCTTGCAATAAGAATGCCCGTAATAGTGTGTAATCAAGTTTTTTATTCTCTACACAAAACTATACATAGAACATGCGACTACACACTAATACGTAATATCTTGTTTTCTCCAACCTTCTGAACTTATTATGTAACGTTTCTTTCGTTGCTGATCTTCCGTTTTCCTTAAGACATCTGTAACGCCACATCGCGGAGATGCCATCAGCTGAAACAGAGATTTATTATTTTCTGTGCAAAAGAAGTTACAGAATATACAGTGGACTAACTATATTGCCCTAGTTGGGGTTGTAGGGGAGTAAAATGGCAATGAGTTCAGAGCCCCCTCCATGCTAAGTTCAGTCGTGGTGGGAGAACGAATTTGTGTGCGCGAAAGTACGTATGAAGGGGAAGTGCCTCGCGTGGCAATATAGTTAGAGTCCACTGTAATTAAACTCTATTGGAGAGTGATGAATCTTCATAAAAAGAAATAAATGAAAACCCTAGAAATAATTATTTCATTTCATTTAAGGGCCCGTTTTCGAGAAAATTGTAGTTGACAATAACGATATTCTAAGATAGACTCAGCGGGGCCATAAATGGAAGATTCTTTTGCAGAGTCGACCCAGTCAGTCTTCGAGATCGTTTTCGGTATTTTAAAAATTTTTAGAACTGGAATAAAAGGAAAGTTTACTTGGGAAGAAGCCGTTCATACCACGTGATGAAAAAGACCGAAATGGACTGGTGATAGACCATTCGATAGCTCACAAAGAAATAACATATATGTATATATGTACATATTTCCCTTTTATTGCAATTCAGATGTAGAAACATTGTGAATTGCAATAAAAGGAATATATATTTTTTTCCAACACACGATGGACAATTTCATAAATAATCAAGCGTGTATCTTGTAAACGTCATATTCTATTAGATCGTCACGTAAACTTGTAACAAATTTTCATTACTAAATTCCACTACTATTTTTCTCTCATTTTATTTCTAGAATCGGTAATCATTTTCCATTTTCTCTAATTTAAAAGTTCTTACAATCCTGTTAGTGTAGTCATTATACTTATTCTGTAGTCATTGTACCATTATGGGAAAGCATTTTTCGATTTTCATTGAACTATTCCTCAATGCTCATTTTTATAAATAATTATTGTTTAGGAAGGATGACATATAGGTATAACCAAATTTCTCAACCTAAATACACAATTTTCGCCATAATTCGATAATTATTATTTACTAAATAATAATAATAATGCAAACATTTGTATTGGATTAATACCACTAGGATTAACAGTGATTGAGAATATTGAATAGATTACTGTTAACTGTAGAGCAAGCATCAGAATTAACTGATCGTTTCGGCCAATTTTCAGAGACAGCCCCCTTTCTCCCGCCGCACGTCTTGGCTCCCGTGACGGCCAAGAAGCTCGATCCACCTCAGGCGCGTGCCATATCAACCACACGAATAGTAGTTGATTTTAATAATCAAAATTTGTTACAAGTTTACGTGACGATCTAATAGAATATGATGTTTACAAGATACACTCTTGATTATTTATGAAATAGTCCATCGTGTGTTGGAAAAAAATATATATCCCTTTTATTGCAATGCACAATGTAGAAACATATTAAAGACAAAATTGACGCACCTCGAGTGTAGCGTTGTCCAATTTTCCTGTGACTGGAATATTACCGAATTTCTGCACATTTTTTATTGCATCTGTTATAGCGCTTTCCTTGTAGAGTGCATCTGAATCGGCAGTACCATGTTCTAGATACCCGTACTTTTTCATAAAATCCATCTGCACGATTACACAAACATTCGTGATTTATCATTATTAACTATTTTACAAGCTAGCGTCAAATTATTATTCTGTGTATGGTAATTCTAGATAATTCAAAGTGTGTGGTATCTCAATCTTTAATTTACTTCGAAAATGAGGAGGATATACCAAAACACAGAGGCTAATTAATTGAATACATAAATAATCTTATACTCTTGTTTAACCAAAAAATAGCACTTTTTATACAATAATTCTATATAACATTTAATATAATAATTTTTATATACATGCAAATAGCACCAAATTTTCACAATAAACTCTCGAAAATTCGTTCATTTTTAGCCGTTTACACCAGCTCCCACATTGACCCTTTGTGTAGGCAACCAAAATATTCACAGTTATTCAGCAATCTTTATACCCTATTCTGACAGATTAGGATTAGATAAACCTACATAATTTTACGTTCTTACTTTTCCTTTTCTATAATATACCAAGTGCTGTTTCAGACAAGACCATAAAAAATTGTGAAAGCAAATTTTAAAATGGGTACCTGGGTACCCGGTTTACTACACAAGGGTTAAATATTACAAAGATATCATGCAATAAATGAGTTAAAACATTGGTTACATTACATGATATTTATGCGAGTGTCAATGTGGAATAGTAAGAATACTTTTTGTGTTTAAAAAAAGTTGTACTTGTTTTACCTACCGCAAACAGGGATGCCGATGTAGCGTCAACATTTGATAGAATTGGTGCCGATTCGTACTTTCCAGGAATGAAAGCAACACACAAAAAAACGATACAATATAACACTGCCATTGTTGAACTCTTCAGTCACTCGATTTGTGACCGTAACTTGTATTTTCAAACTTGTTCGTCGAATGCGGAAACAAGCGCGTTTCCACTCGATGCTCGTGTAGTTTTCGATTTTTTTTTCTTTTTTTGCACGTTACGAGTCTCTCGATTTAATCGGACATATCATTAGGTCAGTCACTGCTTGAAAAAAAGAGCGCTTCGGGAAATTGATAAGAAAGGTCGACTATGTCGCTCGATCTCTGACAACGTAGAAATTACCAAAGAGGCGGGGGAGATCGATTCGTTTAAACGTTGATTGAACAAAGACATAGGGTGAACGCACTAGTGAATGAACACTTGAGAGATTTTGTGACTATTAAAATCGAATTAATATGATAACAATCAGAACAATCAGAAATTTCTTATCTGCAAAATAGATAGTAAGTGGTCTTTTTACAAAAATATTATGGTACAAAAAAATTGCTTCTGATCTGTTTTATAATATTCAGTGGTCAGATATCTTAATAACAACTTATTAACAAGGAGCAATTGAAATAATGTTGTTGCATACATGTTTTTTTGTATTCTGCAGATAACAAATTTCTGATTCTTTATTTGCGAATATCTCATTAAATATAATATTTGCGATGGAAGCAATTTTAGATTCCGAAGGAGCAAATTGGGAGCAATTTTTTAAGATAAAAATTGTTAAGAAATACTAATATTCCGCGCCAACTATTCTTCAGTCACCGGAGAATAGTTGGCGCAGAATATTACTATTTCTTAACAATTTATATCTTAGAAAATTGCTACAGATTTGCTCCCTCAGAATCTAAAATTGCTCCCACAGCACCGTTTATATTTAATGAGATATTCGTAAATGAAAAAGAAAAAATTTGTTAATAGAAAATAGGTAGTAAATGGCCTTTTTACACAAATATTATGGTACCAAAAAATTGCTCCTGATCTGTTTTATAGTAATCAATAGTCAGATATCTCAATAACAACTTATTAACAAGGAGCAGTTGAAATAACGTTTAGATTATTCAATAATAATTGTATAAAATTTTCAGATATACATGACCTTTTATTTGTGATTCAATATAACATTAGATAAACGACATAAAAAATAACGCGACGCAGCAAGTTGGAGTACTTTCTTTTGTTAGGCGTAGATACATTTCAATTACAATTTCTCTGGTCTGTATTCCCGACTGTGTTTTCAATTATTTTGTGCGTGAAATACATTGTATATTTTACACTTATTACATTATATACACTCAGTTGAAAATGGAAGTGCATCGAATAGTCCAAAATATACCAAAGGGATTTCCATCTTTTGCAAATCAGAGTAAACAAAGCTGTTAATATTGTCCTATTATAGCGTTCCTTTCGTTTTTCATATAAACTTGCTTCTAGTACATCAGTTTATATTTGATTATATTTCAGATTATATTTTGATAGCTTTTCATTTTTTCAATGTACATTTTTTAATTCTTATTTTTTGTACAACAATATTATTATTAATTGTGTATACTTTCGCAAAAACAGTACATGTCGAAATTTCGGGTACTGAAATTAAGTTATAATCTACTACAGTAGACATTCGTTTCCCGCACTAGTCGGAGCTTTAGCGGGCCAGAATTCCAGGAACCGTGCAAGAAGCAGACACCAATTACCCGAGCGCTTTCCCCACCACTCGGCCGTTCAGTCGTGCGACGCAACTACATGTAGAGTTGGCTGGATATGCGTACTTGACGGTTACATTACTTATCTCCGTTATTTTTAGAGATATCAAAAAAGTTTATTCACAGAAGTTGTTCAGTATGAAGAAGGCTATTACTTAGCTGAGTTAGCAGTAACAAGTTTTTCGGAGGTGGAGTATCTTCTAAGTTTTTGAAGTTAATTATGTTATTTTTATTAATGATATTAAAATATTATGCAATAAAATACTTTTATTATATAAATCGATTCTTCCAAACATTTTGCGTAATAAAATATTAAGGTATTATGTGAAAAAGGTAATAATTCGTGACATATTGTAGTGGCAAATGTCTAGCTTGGTTAGCATCTGATTATCCATTACGTGTAATCCGCGAGACAAGAAACAATCAAATTGCCACCAATATTCATTGCATCAATAAAAACATTATTAAAACAGTATTATATACACTGCGCTTTCCGTGATGAGATATGTCAGTTAATCGTGACACCGTATGTGTTCCGGCCTGGGCATGCTGGACGACAGACTCTGTCGGCAGAGTAGGGTACGCGGGCGTGTATGAGAAATACGTATAAGCAAGGGGCGTGGCTTTCGTACAAAAACGGTGGCGCGGGAAACGAATGCTACTGTCATATGTAGGTATATTCTATACCTCGTCGGTGTGGAACCAAACCGGGCAGATTCCTAATATTATGCTGGAATTGGCCGCTTGGTGCAGCACATTGAAATGATATGAAAATGTCTAATCCACTTGCAACTTCAAGAACAGTAACATTTCATTAGAAAAATTGAAAACAAAATCAAATTTAATTATTCAAATCATACATACATACATTAACAAGTAATTCAAGTAACAAATTATCTCTAATGCCTTACTATACTCTAAAATGAATTTGATGCATAGGTTCGAATATGTACAATTTTATAAACTTGCAGTTGAAATATATTTTGAACTAATCATTTTGCGATACAAGTACTTCAATATCTTCTTACAAGAAAAAAAAAGAACATTCATTGGTGTATGAAAAAAACTCATCTATTTAAAAATAAGAGCGATTCTGAGATCTCTGAAACACTGTCACCTGCTCCAAAGCAGACACATGCGTTCTCTAATGCACGATTTAAAACCATAAAAATATGCTTAATGAAATATATTTCTGTCTTCTAACTTTTAAAAATCATAGCTTGCCCCATCAGTTACATAGGACACTCTATATGTAGACTAGTAGACTATAAATTAATTTCAGTACCCGAAATTTTGACATGTACTGTTTTTGCGAAAGTATACACAATTAATAATAATATTATTATACAAAAAATAAGAATTAAAAAATGTACATTGAAAAAATGAAAAGCTATCAAAACTTTCAGATAATATAAATTACTCATGATAAGATGAAGTTTTAATATCAGTCATGAAATGATAATAAACTGATGTACTAGAAGCAAGTTTATATGAAAAACGAAAGGAACGCCATAATAGGACAATATTAACAGCTTTATTTACTCTGATTTGCAAAAGATGGAAATCCCTTTGGTATATTGTGGACTATTCGATGCACTTCCATTTTCAACTGAGTGTATATAATGTAATAAGTGTAAAATATACAATGTATTTCACGCACAAAATAATTGAAAACACAGTCGGGAATACAGACCAGAGAAATTATAATTGAAATGTATCTACGCCTAACAAAAGAAAGTACTCCAACTTGCTGCGCCGCGTTATTTTTTGTCGTTCATCTAATGTCACATTGAATCACAAATAAAAGGTCGTATAAGTCTGAAAATTTTATACAATTATTATTGAATAATCTAAACAAGGTGTTCTTGTTAAACATGTGCTAACAACATGATTGAAATCCCCAGTGCCAAATGGCACATAGAAGAAGAAGCGAATGACGTGTGTACAAACGTTTGTGCTGATTGCCAAGAGAACGTTAAATATTGACTAATTGATCAATGAACACAAAGTGGCAACAAAAGTTATGATTGCACAAATCCTCACCTTCCCTATGTTTTCTACCTCATATCTAATTTTAATTATTTGTTATACAAAAACATACATAGATATGTTCATTCGATTAAATTAATAATAAATAGCTATGATGAATTGTGACGACGTAGCTTAAAAAACGAAAATACTCTTTCTATATATACATGACCGATGCAGGCGTCTCCCCGCACACTAAATTCATCTAAGCAGATTAGAACACTATTACTCTTAAGTACAAGGCATTTCCGTGCAGAAAATTTCACTGCCTATAGTTTACAGAGGCAAAATAGTAAAGGAATAAATGTCCCAATCGCTGCAAACACTGGTAGCATTACTGAAGAATCATCAATTGAATAGGGATCTGGAGTTCTAGGGCCGCTTGTGTGTCGGCTACGCACTGTCGATTCTTCTTCGTCTTCTTGTATATTCTGATATTCCTCTGGTTCTTGAGGAATTGGGCCTAACTGTGGTATATCTGAAAATTATAGAAATTGATTACAGGACATAATTTAGAAACCTTTTGAGGTGCACAGAAGACTTAAAACAGTACCTTCTATATTTCCTTTTATAACAGCAATTGCATTTATCTTTGGGTTATCTCTATACCCCTGTAAGCGATGGATTGATATTAATAAAATTGTAATGAAATAATGTATAATACATTCTAGGAAATAAGTAACAAAAATAGTTATAATACTTTTATAAATTCAACTCGAATCTTTCCAGCTAAAATATCTGATTCTTCGTCATTGTATATTAATTTTCCTCCTTGAACTTTAAAAGGAATATATTCATCGTGTGCTATACCACGACCAACTCTTTCAAATATATCTAAGTCAGTAACAACAGTATGGTCTCCATTTAAAACCACATCAAAGACCTGGAAAAAAGTTGTTGGGATCTAAATTATTACGAAACATTGTTTAACTATTACAAAAAGAGTACTTAAACCCTTGAGAATAATAATGGTATAAAATAAACAAGTTATATGATTGACTTATTTCAAAATATTTGTTCATTATATTAAATAGCATGCACTAAGTGTTAACATCACAACATTCCACAGATTATAATCCACACAAATATTTTATTCCAACACAAAAATTTTAATCAACCTACAAATCTAAATAAGAATTATGATTTTGTCACTCCTGGTTCTGGTACCTAATGTAGAAAGTGAATCATTCTCCATTATGTAGTGAGTGTGGTATAAAAATTATTTTGCAGATTTTGGATTATTTTATTGGATTTATAAGAATGATGTTGAGCAAATATAAAAAATAGTTTTGTAACCAGGAAGGGTTTATAAACGCTTGTTCACTTATTTTTTTAGGTTTCAAATTTTGTATAATATTCTCTAATAGCTCTAATAATTTTAAATATGTAATATTCTTATCAGTCACCACCATTTTAAGAAGGTTGATTCAAATGTCAAATATTTAATGAAAACCATATTGGGACTAAATATTTTGCAGAATATCATTATTTGATTCTTATGGTTATATCTTCAAATTTTATTAAAACTATCATGAAATCACCCATATGGTCCCTTCTGACTTACGCCATGTTTATTATCAAGGGCTTAACTAGTCATTTAATAATTGTTCATGTAATATTAACTATTATTAGCTAATTCTTATTTATTTTAAAGTGATTCGTTGTTTTAGAATTAGAATTTGTCAATCATCAAAGTACAGTTCGACATACATTATATAATTAAAAATCTATTAACCAGATTGTATAATTAAAAACATTATAGGGTATTACCTTCATATTGGGAGAATTAAAATAAACTTCGCAGAACTTTAATATTATAACATACTCTCCATCTTCACTAATTGGTATATCATACCCAAATGTACTATGGTGGTAACGCTCAGTCTGATACAATATTTGATCGATAGCATTTATTCGTCCAATAATTAACTGCTTGCCATAATCAGATGCCGTTCCAACTTTACCCATTAATGGATCTTTGGCATATCGAATTCCATAACTGTCAGTGTGTGCTTCTCCTCCAGAATTTATTGCATATATCACTTCCAAACTCTGGAAGCTTTGCACACAGAGGACAAATAATAATATTGATATTGTCAACAAATGTATTACCCATCCTGTGGTCATTTTTTCTTATTATACAATATAGCAAAGTTCAACTTTTTCCAAGCAACAATGTAATCATAACTTTCTGCTTCTCAATTTGTTCTGACCGGCAAGTGAGGTTACAATTAAAATAGAGTAACATTTAAGGCCAACGATTCAACGACGTTGCGCACGATGAAATCCACATGTTATCCGATCAAATTAAAGTCAGTTCTATTTGAATAAAACTAAAACGGAGCACACTGTCTGTTATGTCAACAAATATTATGAATCTTTGTGGGCCACGAATCACACGCTTTTAAACATACGCTGACGACAGCCACGTTACTATTACGTGTCACTGATGTGTCAGGTTAGGTGAACAGAAACAGCTTTTAGTGCAAAATAAATAGCGATGCACTGTACTGATTGCAGAGTTTCAAAAATTTCTTCTGAATGGATACAGTATGAATGAAATTTTAATTTGTCTAACTAAAGATTAAATTGTTTGTAATTAGCGTAAACTTTATTATAACATTTTTAAATATTGTACGTGAAAGGTGTACCGGTCATATACATGTTATTTCAATTATTACCGACTGAGTCAGAATGCAGTTTTTATTAATGATTATATGTACACCGTTTTGTAAACATAATAATACATAATACGGAATCATTAATATCAATTTATGGAGAACCATTTTATTGCTTATATTTTCTTATCATTGCAGGTATCGGTATTGCAGTCTATAATCCGATAAGTTATCTATAAAACAGTGTACACGTGGAAATTTGGCTTTACATACAAGGATGTAGGACCTGTAGACGGTGACCAATGAACTATAATAAGTTATAGTTCATTGACGGTGATTCAGAACGAATGCAAAAAACTAAAGTACGATTTGGGAATCCATTTCAAGTAGAAAATGTTGTACAAATGTTAATGGTTTAAGAAATTAACACAAAAGACAGTCTGAAATATTATTTATTTACTATTCACTGTATAAGATATGTTCATTTTACATATATTGCTGAACACAACTACGTAAATATTGAGAACGATGGTTAATCATCGTATATGCAATTTGATAGTTATTGCATTCGAATACAAATCCGAAACCGTACATTATTTTGCTCAGTCACATACAATTCATCACAAAAGTATTCGGCCATCGTAGGCGAAGTTTGCGTGGAATTGTAAGTAGGTTCGCAAATAAAAACCTATATCAAACCCTATTTTTAATGAACATTTATTGTAAAATAAATTAATAAATATTCATTAAAAGTAGGTTTTGATATAGTTTTTTATTTGCAAACCTATGTACTTACAATTTCAAGCACAATTTACTTAATGCTTAATACTATTATGACCAAAAACTTTTGTGACCAACTGTAAGTAGAACAATAACAAGAAATGTTCTTTTTACATTATTCTGAGTAGATATTTTTGAATATAAAACCAAAAATATTGTTCCTAAACATATTTTCTCCGAAACACGTTCTACTCTGTGTACAGGATTTCCGAAAATTCAGTATGCCTTCTAATCTCTTAAAAACAGAACTTTTACTGCGCAATAACGTTTGAAAATACTGATAAATTGCACGATGTTTGTTATTTATCGGTAGCCTCGCAAAAACGAAGCTCTCTTCGTTCGTACACGTGCTCGAACACAGACGAAGTCGCACCTTGACGAGTTCAGAAGACGTTAACGTTAACGTCGCACACCTGCCAATGCTGTCTTCCTTTTCTTGCCACCTGGAAACCTTATAACGGCCGACATAAACCGTGATCCTTTGAAAACTCTAACAAGGCACGTAGTTTCCGAACTTGTACATACCCAGGGCCAGTCCTAACTGAGGTACAAAAGGTGCCCCCTTACCTGGGCGGCCGCAGATCATTTATCACATGCAAAATTTTGGCTAATAAAAATAATAATCAACACGTTTTTGAAGATTATGAAAATTTTAGAAACACAGAATTCAATCAAATTAATTGTATATATAATATTTGTAACACTACTCGTATACAAGAATAAACTATCTTGGACAGCCCAAAATAGCATATATGACATTTAGTCATATGTATTGGATTAAATTCGTGTCGGTAATTAATGGTCCCTATTTATCAATCATAACATCATTATTATAAACATTATACGGTAGTTTTGTACTTATATGTGGAATAAAATATTCGTTTTAAATTAAACAATTTATTTTTTAAGGATGTTTGGTTCAGTTTATGAAAATAAAAATTAATAAATACTTGTTTAAAAAGTATGTATCTATATAGATATAAAAGTAAACACTTCATATCAAATTCTTAGTTAAATAATATTAAATTAATAAGGGCGGCGATACGGTTTTTGCATCTGGGTGGCCAAAAACCTAGGAACGGCCCTGTATATGTATACCTACGACCTACACTGCTCGGCGCAACGAATCGTCCCTAGGGATTGTACTTATGTATGCAAAAACGGATCTTGTGCTGACGCCCTGAGGAAACAGAGTCCGATTTCATTTCTACGTAAAAAGGAATATTTACGACATAATGTTAGGATGTCTAAGAAAATATTGTGCATTACATTAGTTTTATTCATTAATTTCATGTTTCTGAAACACGTGTCTTGCAATTTTAAAGGTGAAAGTTTAATGTAACGAAATCTTCTTGAAATTTTAATATTTTATTTACTGATGACTATTTGTTAGAATTGTCAAAAAGTAGGATTGTCGTCTTTTTAAGTCACGTTTAAATTAAAACAAAGATTTTTTTGCAATAAGAATTAGTAAATTATTAGAAAGGTATTACAAATTACAATTGATAAATTATTACATTCTCGTACGAAATGATGCTGATTACTTCACAAATTAAAAAAGAACCAAATTTCATTTGTTAAAAATTTATAAAATTGTTACATTATATTACATGAAGATTATTCTTTATGTTTTCCACATTTTATGTATTGGAAAATGTAAATTTATTTGAGTAAATCCGAGATACTTTGTAATTAATATTAATCCTCTGGATACTGTTGTTTAATAAGTATGAGTTATTGATTTTTCAATTTTTACAACGAAAGTTATTTATGACTTTACTCAATTTAGAACATCTAATAATGTGTTTTAAATATATGTATATGTATATGGTATGAAATTCAATTCCCTTTACGGCTGTTTTTAGTCGTTTACCTCGGGACGTTTTAACCAAGGCCATTCGTATGTACAAACAGAGTATGATTGAAATTACTACATTCTTGGACGAAATACCGAAGGTTTTAATACATATTAAAACTTTTATCTACACAAGTATGTGTCTAGTTTAGCAATTTTTTAAAAATAAACAATGTACAAAAAAATCTGTATGAATAATTTATGCCAGTTATTATCTCGATGTAAACTAATACATTAATCATGTTACAATATATAATGTGAAATCGTAGGTCAAAAATACGTGTGAACAAAAAGAGCTTTATTAATTATTAATTATTACATCATACAAAAACCGAGAACGCTACTACATCACAATAAAAACAACAAGTTAACAATTAACTGCAACATGAACGTTTACTAATTATTATGCATCACATTAATCGATTACGTCGATAATCGAATTCTTATCACATTTTATATATTTATAAAACATGCGTATGCGTAAAACACAAAAAATTAAGACTCCTGTCAACTGTAATGCATAAACAGTACAAGCAAATTTGATAAAATCCAATAGAACTGGAGTTTTAATAAAGATAACAAAACATTTTGCTTCGTTTAAAATTCACTTTTTTATTTTAAATTTACCGATGTATTGTAAAATAGTCTAAAAAATGACGGCTCGAAAACCATTGTATTTTTTTTATGCTGGTTTTCCCAAGTATAGGTTGAAATCATTTACGGAGAGACAGAAAAGCTGATATGGAACAGAAAATTTCGTGTAACTATACTATATAATTTATTTTCTAGTAATAATATCTTAAAGTTTTAAGACATTTGAGTTTACTTACGAAATACTGATAGACATACGATTTACAATTACATAGTAACTATACAACTTCATTGACGGGCAAAAATGGAATAAAGCTGTCGTAATATATTTCGTAGTAAACTTGTATAATTTACCGTTAAAGTTTGGTATTGCCAATGTTCGGTACACAACATTTATCACAATAAAATACATGCGACTCAACGAGTTTCTGCAGTTACATGATGACATAGCAATCCTTCGTATCTTTCCATTGTTTTGCAGTAATGATGAGGAGATAGAAATATTTATTTCTAAGAATAGCAAAGGAAACGTTCAAACTATGAAAAGCTACTCAAAATCGATTGCTTATTGCGCCTTATTAGATCAAACATATTTCCCTGATTGTTTAAGTAAAATAAGAAGAAACACATTAAATTTTATTAAGAGAGAAGGATGATTTCGACATAAAAAAACTGGATGTAGTTCCGGAAAAATTCACTCTCCGATTTTCCCGAAACTCGGTAAAATCGTCCCGAATATTCCGAAATTAACATGTGTACAAGATTTTTTGGCAAAATTAAAAATTCACTGAGATAATACTAAGATAATAAATATACCTTTGTGTAATAAACACATGAAATTGAAATCGTGACATACAGTAAATACTCGATGAGTGTTCTAAGGTTCCTCGGAATTGACAAGGAAACGTCCCCAGATGTAACGTTGACTTTTTAATGAGGTTTAGCACAATGATAGAGTATGGAATTCCCAAGTCAGTGATATTTATTTCAGCCGCATATGGCCCTTAATTTATTAAATATTTAATATTCAGTGCCGATGAGCTATCGAACACTCATCGAGAAATTACTGTACAACGTCTCGTGGTGCTACACTAATTATGTTCGAAACTGCTTCAAACCAACTATTGTATGTATGACTCACCCATAAAAATATATGATACAAAACACACTTTATGTGTCGTTATCTTAATATTAATATATCTGTTATGACAACAAATAATTATCCCATTATTCTTGCGTTAACTCAGTTAATTTTCAATTCTGACACAAAACGTTTTACATACGTTCATTTGGGAGTATTTGGGACGAATTTACCAAGTTTCATGAAAATCGGAGGGCGGACCTTTTTGGAACTGCAGCGAAACGGTATGTTATCTTCGAATTTTATTCGATCCAATGCTTTACGTCTGTTATATTTTGATGGAATCTCAGAACAATCTTTCACGTATGGCAAGAGGAAGTGCAATCGAAATAGTGCGGAAAAGTAACACTACATCTAAATTTGTATCTCTGTCCTTGTTCATTGTTGGCAATTGAGCGGAAGTAACTCTTTGCATCAATTGTTTAACGCAGTTATCTGTGAAAATTATTACTGAACATCAGATCTCCATGCAATTTTAGTAATTTTACATTATTTAAAAACACACTTTGTTGATTCAAAATTAAATAAAACTTTTTATCATTCTTGAAAATATATATGTATATCAAGAATTCATACGGTAAACCAAAAGTAAACATATCTTTAATGACAGGTCAACAGTGTACATATGTATACTAGCTATCACTAAATATATGTATAAGTATTTGCCTATCCACATTAGATACATTTTACTAAAAAATGTACCAAATTTGTCACAAGCAGTAGTGTTCTTACTAATAACGGCCAAAAAGCAAGTAAAATTCGTAAACATTTTTTTCAAATTCCCAAAGTATAATATCAAATGAAAAAGAGTAAAATTAATATTTCCTCAATGGGCAGACAATACTTATGAATGGTAGTGTACGCATATATGCAGCTACGGGTGTGGCTTTTGATGGGTTAGGTAGATGTACATATATTTTAGGACAAATTTACATCGATCACGTTATGTGTTTGTGATATATTCTACACGTAGATGGGATTTTCACCTGGACGTTTACACTTCTGCGATATCGACACTATATAACGAATAACTCATTGTTAGGCGATGAACACACACACGCGTCAAGCACGTATCGAACAAATGTATATAGGTACATAACCAGCTGTTCTAGGTTACGCTGGAAGTTTCTGTATAGTTCGCGAACTTTACTGCAATGCTCGTCGTCATCGATTTCCTCTACCGTCCTTTGCTGCGTCTACAGCATCGTCTTTGTAGCAATATTTTTGCATAATTTAACAATGGAAATCAATAAAGAAGCATTATGATGATGACTGTTCATCGAATCTGTACCTACAAACTGTCAGCTGTTGCAGGTAACAGTATGATAAGAGCAACACAAGTGTCTATTATACATATTACTGTATATTAGTGATAAATAGTCGTACAATACTGTTATATTAAAAGTGTGATATTGTAACTCATTTATAATTAATTTTGGCTTCACTTGTTACATCTATAAATATTATCAAAATTAATTGGCATACAATTTTTATATCAATATTATTTATTTAAAACTATACATTTCTAATTGTATTCCTGTTGTTATAAGACTGTCAGTTTTTATAAAGATTTGCAGCCTAGGTATAATATAATTAAACAGTTTATAAACGTATAGTCAAAGTAAATATGTAATTATATTCATAACATTTACTTTCTTCTTTCACTTTTGTTCAACATAATATGGATTTACGATAAAATGATATTTTAAGTTCTCCGAAGACGGGAGTGTATACGTCATGCGATTTATATTCATACGTCACAGCGTATATTAGTTTATATGTATGTATGTACTTACCACCAACACGTCACTTGGTGAAACATAGTTCAATGAATTGACAAATTTTTACTATATTGAAACTTACGAACGTCTTAGTCTTAGAGATATACAACAGTGATTTTTATAGTAAAGTCCTATTTAACTTTATTTTCGATAAAACGAGTATTGTCATGATATATACAGAAAACTACAGGTAGATTTCTTTGATTTTTACACTATGCTATTATACATATTGAGTTTTAATAATGAATACATGTTCGTAGATTAACCATTAGATAATCTCTATCAATAAAATGGATATGTAAGGATCATTAGATAATCCAGTCCATCGATTTTATATGAGGAAATAAAATGTACACGATTATTCAAAGACAAAAAATTAGTACTTTGCCGACAAATCTACTTTACATTTAGTTCGCAAGTTTACTTGACAAAACTTCAATGTAAATTCCCACCATTGTACTGACACGTCGATTCAGAAAAAAACAGTTTATCATACCCGTTCTAATGCAGCATTGCCTTTCTTTCCAGTGTATTATTTTACAAGTATATAATATTCTGATTTCAAAGGCAACGTATCTTATGAAATATTTAATCGTTTTACACGTGTTCAAAACTGTTTGGTAAAAATTTAAACAGGTAAACTGTAAAGGTTATAGGTGTCAATGAAATCAGAAGACCTTGGATACAGCTAACCATAACCCTGTATAAATGTAAACTGCATACACGCTGGTGTGCGTGGCCATGCTGCTCGGTACCTTCTAGAATTAGATATTTCTCCACTTTTCTCACTGACTCTACTTCCGTGTCGTCTGCCAGATTGAACGGAAATCATCTTGATAAATCATTTCACAGTTAAGTGTGGTTGATCCTTCAAAAGAGTACTGATAAAATTATTAAGCAGCTTTCTTTAATGGAAAGAATACCAGTGCATAATATTTGTAAGATGTAAAGTACATTTTAGCTGATCGATAATCATGTAAAATTTTATTACTGATACACGTAGTTTACGAACGGTCACCAATGGCTACACAGATCCAGCAGAAATCTGTCGTTCGATTGGCTCATGCATTGAGCCTGAGCAGTAAGAACATTCTAGAAGCGTCCTCTGGAAAGGTAATATATACGGAGGCGCGAGTGCGGTCTCTTCACTCACGTTGCGAATCGTCAAACGAAGAACTTCTTCGCTATCCTAGAAAGTACATTTTTATAATCGAACAAAGCGAACAAAGAAAGGTGCGTAATTGTGATCTACGAGTCTTATGTTATCGTCCAGGATACGTGATTATAAACGTTTGATTCAGACGTTTTTCAAAGAAATTCATTTGTCTTTATTTTCTATTTTCTACAGAAAAAACAAAGATGGCTAAAGCACCCGCAGTTGGTATTGATCTTGGCACCACCTACTCGTGCGTTGGTGTCTTCCAGCACGGAAAAGTGGAAATCATCGCCAACGATCAAGGAAATCGTACAACGCCCAGCTATGTTGCATTCACAGATACCGAACGATTAATCGGTGATGCCGCCAAAAATCAAGTTGCCATGAACCCGAACAACACAATTTTCGGTAAGTAGATTTACGGAAATTATTAATCCTAGTAACGTAACATTATTAGGCAAAATACAGTGCATTAATTTTGATAGTAATCGATATAACCAAGCATTAGATTTAACTATCGTTAGAATAAAAAATTATTTTCGAACTCTTGATTAAATAATTATGTTAAATTGTAGAGAAAAAGTTTTTTGTAGTCATGTTAACTCAGTTTTAATTGATTTAAGCATTGCTAAGAATATTTTTGTTTTTATTCGAAAGACATTTTATTCAATGGTTAATATTGTAGGTTAATCATTTGGGCGGGTACAAGTAGCTTTTATATCAACGTTTTATCAATTGTATTTTCGGCAATATTTTGTGTATAATCTGAGGACATACAGAATAGAAATACGTAATACATGCATAACATTGCAAGTAATTTTGAATATTGGAAATAAGCGTGGAAAATTCTTAACATGGTTATACAGACTGGAAGGTCAATACTACTATATATATGTTAACCACGCACGCGCATATATACGGTTAGGGTCATGGCCTCTAGAGGACGCCTGTTTAGTGCCTTATTAGGTCAACGTCACGATTTATTTACTACATATTTAAAAAGTTCATACATACAGTGTAAATCATTTTTATGATTTAACAACATAAAATGATAATCACTTTTTGAAATGAGGCAAAATAAAATTGAAAATGGTAAATTCTTACTAGGTTACGGATGTTACAAGATTATATGCACATTTGAATTTTAAAGTAGAAAAAATAGTTATTTCTAATTAATCATATTTTTTTTCATTTTTTTTTTCAGATGCCAAGCGACTTATTGGACGTCGGTTCGAAGACACTACAGTTCAAGCAGATATGAAACACTGGCCATTCCTTGTTGTGAATGATGATGGCAAGCCTAAGATTAAAGTACAGTACAAAGGAGAGATGAAGACTTTCTTCCCTGAAGAAGTGAGTTCAATGGTCCTGGTAAAAATGAAGGAGACTGCTGAGGCATACCTTGGAAAGACCGTCACTAATGCTGTGATCACTGTACCTGCTTACTTCAACGACTCGCAGCGTCAGGCAACCAAGGACGCTGGCACCATTTCGGGCTTAAACGTTTTACGTATTATCAACGAGCCCACTGCGGCCGCCATTGCTTACGGCTTGGACAAGAAAGCCACTGGCGAACGCAACGTCCTAATTTTCGACCTTGGCGGTGGCACCTTCGATGTATCTATTCTGACAATCGAAGATGGCATCTTTGAGGTCAAGTCCACAGCAGGAGATACTCACCTTGGTGGTGAAGATTTTGATAACCGCATGGTCAATCACTTCGTTCAGGAGTTCAAGCGTAAATACAAGAAAGATCTTACCGCTAATAAGCGTGCCCTTCGTCGTCTTAGAACTGCTTGTGAGCGTGCTAAACGCACTCTGTCATCGTCTACTCAAGCGAGTATTGAAATTGATTCCCTCTATGAGGGAATTGACTTCTACACTTCGATCACCAGGGCTCGTTTCGAAGAGCTTTGCGCTGATCTGTTTAGAGGAACACTTGAGCCAGTAGAGAAATCACTGCGTGACGCTAAAATGGACAAGGCTCAAATTCATGACATTGTCTTGGTTGGTGGATCCACACGTATTCCTAAGATCCAGAAGCTGTTGCAAGACTTCTTCAATGGCAAGGAATTGAACAAATCTATCAACCCTGATGAAGCTGTTGCTTACGGAGCTGCTGTCCAAGCTGCTATCTTGCATGGTGATAAGTCTGAAGAAGTACAGGATCTGTTGCTTCTTGATGTTACGCCTCTGTCCCTTGGTATTGAAACTGCTGGTGGTGTCATGACTGCTCTTATCAAGAGGAATTCGACCATTCCAACAAAACAGACACAAACATTCACCACTTTTGCCGATAACCAACCTGGTGTATTGATCCAAGTCTACGAAGGAGAGCGTGCAATGACAAAGGACAACAACCTGTTAGGTAAATTTGAGCTAAGTGGAATTCCACCAGCACCCCGAGGAGTTCCTCAAATCGAAGTTACATTCGACATCGATGCCAATGGTATTCTGAACGTCACTGCAGTGGACAAATCTACTGGCAAGGAGAACAAAATCACCATCACCAATGACAAGGGCCGTCTTAGCAAGGAGGAAATCGAGAGAATGGTCAACGAAGCTGAGAAATATCGTAGTGAAGATGAAAAACAAAAGGAACGAATTGCTGCTAAGAACGGTCTTGAGTCTTACTGCTTTAACATGAAGAGCACAGTGGAAGATGAGAAGTTGAAGGACAAGATCAGTGCCAGTGACAAGACTGTGGTACTGGATAAATGCAATGACATCATCAAATGGCTCGACGCCAATCAGCTGGCTGATAAGGAAGAGTATGAACATAAGCAAAAGGAATTGGAAGCTATATGTAATCCTATTGTCACGAAGTTGTATCAGGGAAGTGGAGGTATGCCTGGTACTGGAATGCCTGGTGGCTTCCCAGGAGCAGGAGCCGCTCCAGGTGGAGCTCCTACTGGTGGTGCAGCTGGTGGTCCTACCATTGAAGAAGTCGACTAATCTTCTCAATTACCACTGCCATCTACATGTGTTCACGCAGAGAAAAAGGAACAGCGAATTTAAAGAACATAGAAACTATTACAGCTGCGGTCTTTTCGTTCCTCAGTATGATTTAGCTATGCTTGTTTTCATGTACGCATTTGAAAACAGATTATTACGTTTATATTTATTTTATTTCTGTAGAACTGGAAAAACGACTTATTCTTGATTTTTTTTATTGTGGAATCCAAGTAACACTGGAAAACGTAATTTAATAACTGTCCATTAGTTAATAATGTGGATAAAAAAAAAGATCTGTTGATTTTCTATGTTCGAAAAACTTCGACTGAAAAATAAACCAATCATGTGAAACTTAAAAATGATTTCCAATTTTTCCTTCTCTATAGATTAATAAAAATTAAAATCTTCCAGATTCTTATCAGTGATATACACATAGAAATTTATGTCTTTATGATATATATGCAATCGTGCAAACTGTAAGAAAGAAAGTTTAATACAGATCAACTAGTTTACTTCGAATAAACTTTGCTATCACGTTACTATTTATATATAAAAGATTGTTAATATGTAGATTATTTCATAAAAGCCAAAGTCGAAGAATTCTATATTACATTAAAGAATACGTTTGATCTGGACAATATATATGTTTAACACATAAATTCTAGGCAATGTTTTGTTTCAAACCTAAAGAAAAATACACAGTAAAAACGAAGCACTTTGTAGATACATACAGTTGAAAAATTTAGGTATTGAACTAAGTTACATTTTTATTGAGGCGAAGTCTGAAATACTTGAAAATATAACAATATCATTTATTTACGCATGAAAAACATCTAATGCTCCTTTCGTTTAGAATGTTTAGATCATATACAGTATGTCTGGTTTAAGTGCATACACGCTATTATTTATCTAACTGCTGAAAATGCGAAGAAATGTTTCATATGAAAGTTGCTTGATTTCATGGAGCGAACCTAATAGAATATTTCAATTTTTTTTTGTTGATTACAGAGGTTTTAACATTTTTTTAAAATGGAAATATATATTTTGTTATCATTATCATTTTATTAGAAATTTTATGACGAATTCGGACAACTTTTATATGGAACATTTTTCCGCATTTTCTATAGTTAGATAAATAATGGCGTGTATACACTCACATCGGATATACTGTAGAATTATTTTGTTAGTAGATACATAATCAAAACGTGTTCAATAAAACAAAATTTTATTTGCAAGCACAACAGGCTGCTACAGAAAACAATTATATCCGTAATCGATAATACAATGATGAAAATTGGATCGACGTGAGATGTGACACCATTAGAATATGATTGTACTAGAAGTTTAATAATTTTCTAAAGTTATTACCCCAAAAATCTAAAATATTGTAAATAACAAATCGATGGCGAAATTTAAAAGTAAGAAGGTAAAGACCCAGCATTATTAGGACTGAAAATTAAGATGTGTGTGCCATAGTAGTTTCGAACAGTACAGTCGACTTTCCCCTCTTCTTCTTTTTACCACCATTCTTCTTGGCTCCTAAAGAACAGAAGCAAAAATGAAATTATGAGCATGCAATATTTGCTGTTTATTACAAATAAATTTCTGCAGTAAAAGGTAGTCAAAGCTAAAGTTAGTATAGACTGTAGGCCTAATTTACTAACAAATTGTTGGACGCGTAAGATCGAGATTTTTAAGGTGAAAAATTGCTGCTGTGATGATAAACTATTACGTGATAGGTATAAACAACAGTCAATCGGTTATCTCAAGCAGTATCGAACAGCCATTTGTTAATTTCATAGTATTCTTTTACAGTTTCTGTGGAAGATATATAACATCATTGTAAAATTAGTCAAGAGTAAAGGGATTTTAACGGATTCTTATCTATTTCATAATTATTTACCGCCGATAATAGCAACTTTCAACCTAGCACGTAAAAATCTAAATATTCGTCAGCAAGGAATTAATTTACATCTTAAGTGTGTTCCTACATTTTGTACATTTGGCATTTTTATTACAAGAGTTTGTACACAAGCTAAATATATTTTCTATATTCATTTCAAATTTTCTTATTATATGTCACAAGTAACAACTACTATCCGGTCTTATGTTTATTAGAAACTTTTTCCAATTTTTTGAAATATGCCGCGTATGTCATCATTTTACGAGATGATCTATATTTGCAAAAACAATCACGTTTTATAACCATAAATTTATTAAACTTGCCTGATAACTTCGTTTGTTCTAAAGCGGCTGCTATAGCATCGCCGAAACTTTGACTGTATGACGATGCGGAGAAGTAATCGTCTTCTTCCTCTGTATTTTTTGAAAACGTCTGAGCAGACAGACTTGAATTGGACTCTCCGCGCATGGAGCTGACAGAAGGCCACGCCGCCGAGTTTCGAGGTTTCGAGCGTGTACCGGTGTTCCGCAACATTTCTGCGAACGATGGTCCCTGTTCATGCGCGGTATTGTCAGTTTGTCTGTTTCGAACAATTTCGTCGAACGTGCTCAACGACGGACTGCTAGCTATGCTGGAATTTGTCGTTGATTCTGGAGGCGAAGGAATACTTTCCCTGTAACGTACATTATTTCGATTAATTTTACAAATTCATTAGATTGTAAGTCTAAAGTTTATATATATATTACATGAATTCATAAAAGTGGCAATTATAAAAAAATTGTTATTATTATGCATCATAAGAATTTTAATTGACCATATTTGAAGTATTTTGATTAGTTCATCCAAGAGACACGATTCGAATCTGGAGAAGTCATTGAAAGTGTTTGAAATCGAAAAAGTATTTGTAAGCCAATTACTGTTTTACTGTAATTTCAAAAGATTGTAAAAAATTGCGAAAGTAGTTAATGTCCAAATAATAGCAATGTTACCAGAAAGCTATCGCGAAAGTAATATAAACCAACATAGGTAATCTTTTCGGTAAAAGTAAGCGAGATACTATTGCAATAACAACGATATAACAGTTCAAATAATAAAATATATATACTCAGGAACTAATGATTCTGGCTGCCATTGAGGAAAATGTCGCTGTGAATCGATGTGTACTTTTGGCGTTGGGTATCTTCCCATTCGCTTATTTTCTTCTTCGGTGATCTTCTTCTCTCTCTTTCGTTCCTCAAGTTCTCGCTGTTTCCTGCGTTTATGTCTCAATGCTAACTGATCTAGAGAAACAGTTTCCATATTGATTAGAATTTCTGTGCAAAACGAAGCGAAATAGTTGTTTCCTAATAACAAAAAGTACCCTGAAACGATGATAGAACTTGTTCCGATACAATCGGCGGTTTTAAATCAATTTCGGCTATTTCAAATTGGCAAGTAAGTGGCAAATGACATAGATATCTCAGTCTACGTCTTAAATCTTCTGTAAAAATTCCTCCTTCCTTTTCCAGGAGTTTTCCTTTAATAACATGCGGAGAATTCTCAAGACTACCATACTGCTTTTCCAGCATCTTCACATTCATTGCGTGAAGGTATAGATGTTGCCCATCATCGGCTAAACACAAACATTTTTTAAAACTAATTCATCACAATAATAAAAGAAAAGTATGATAAAAATATATCCACGGGTAATAACCTTGATAAAAATAAAAAAACTTTTGTACACTCGAAGTCGACTGAAGACTACCACTTGAATTTTCCGTTATTTTGATAGATTCTTCATCTAAACTTTTTAGGTCTTTCTTATCTGAAACATTACTGATTTCTTCATAATCTTGTAATTCCTGTTTTTCAGTGTCGTTGCCCTGTTCTTTTGTTATTAAAGCTGTATTCATTTCTGATGTTGATTTGTTCTATAATAGAAAAACATCATTAGATTTTTAGGCCATACATAATTCGTTGCTCTACATTTACACAAATAAATTACTGTTACCCCTTGTAATAGCTCCTCTTCTCTTTCTGAAAGTTCATTAAGTGCTTCTTCAATGTAACAATTTTCTGGCGAATCAGGATTATCAGACATTTCCAATTTTAATTGAACACGTTCCCCTTCAATAACACTCATAATCTAAAGATTTTTATTTATTAAGAAGACTTTCAACGTTTTGAAATTAAGCATTATAATCTTCTATAACTTTCAAGTGGCTTACATCGTTTGTATTTGCAATGAGAAGTTTTGAATACACATCTTTGCTAATAGCATCTGCAGCTGGAAAAAAGTTTGTTGGATTTTGCGTTACAGACCCAACGGGTACAGCAAGCAATGAACCTCTTTCACGGCGCATCAAACGTAAAGTAACAATATCTCCTGAATTTAGCGGACTTTGCATGATTTCAGTAACACTAGAAACGGAGAAAGGAACAGGTATTCATAAAGTTCCTCTCTTGTAATATTCTAAAAATACTTTTATTTTCAATAAGCACTGAAAGTATACCTTTTCAAATCAGATTTCTGAATCAATTCATAACAAATGGGACATTTACGCCAAGATTTGTCAGAAAGTGATAAGTAATGAAGAATGCAGGGCCAACAATAAACATGACCACAACGTGTCATTTTTCCAGCAACTGGCATACCCAAACAAATTGGACAAGACAAGCATTCAGAACTATAAAGTTTCTGGAATATAAAGTACTCATTAACCCGAGAAGCCTAAACATATGGTTTATAACTTACAATTTGCTCCACTAATTTCCAGTCAACTAAAGCATCAGGATCAGTCAGATATAACGTGTAATTTCCATTGGCAGTTACAACAAATTGGCAGCTACAAGAAAAATAATATTTAGTGCGTAAAGACATAAATATTTCATACATTTAAACATATGAAATTATCATATCGTTCTACCTGGCTTGTAGAAACTGTTCTTTGTTGTATTTGTGTCTCTGGACTGGTGGAAGCCATCTATTACTGTTGCGAGAGCAACTCTTTATTGACTTTCCATGACTCCATGCACCCGAACCACTTTGCATTTCACGCGGTTCATAATGAAAATTCAGCAGATGATTCAAATTCTGCTTTTTACTTCCTTGGACCAATACTGAGCCATGCTCAGCTAATTCTGCTTCCACTACCTATATGTAATAATGACATTTAATTAAAACTTAACTTAATGAATGAATGTTGTATGTAAAAAAGAACTACAATAATTAAACTGCAGTACGAACCTTGGTATCCTCCTTTGAACCACCATGATACTGTCCTTTAGGTTTTGGTCTCTTATCAAAACTTTTTGTTTTCTGTACATTACACTTCCTTGGCTGTTCATATTTTGAGAAGCTATTAGTGCCAGTTGTTTCGCGTCGGCGTGAGGACCTTGGAAAGAGCTTACCATTTATAACATCTGAAAAATGGTAATGAACATAGTTTTTCTTCATATTCTTATCCTGTGAGAAAATTTAAATAATTAATTTTATTATTACATTATTTGTAATTTTAACAAATTACATTGAAATCAGAGATTGAAAACTGAAACCAATAGGTTTCAATTTTCAGAACTGTTACAGAGAACCAAAATGATGTTACAAGTGTTATGGTTGAAAACTAGATCCAACGTAGGCCAGAATCTTTTTCAACCATAACAAGTTATAGCATCATTTTGATTCTTCACACAGACTTCTATATAAAGTCTGTGGTTCTTCATAACTGTATCAATCAAAATTCTTTATATAACAGTATATTATCAGAACTATTTCAACCCTTGGTTAAAACTACTAACATTCACAGAATGACATATATCATAAGCAACATTATGTTCTGAAAAATTAATCTTTAAGTAATATATGATTTCTTAATATTCATGCAGTAAATAGGCAAATTGTGAAAAGATTACATTAAACTTCATAACTTGCATACCTATATAAATTAATCATTTTCAGGGTGATATAAGATTAATTTTTTTTTATGCATACAAATGCTAATGAATAAATAAATTATTAATTGCAAAAGCTCTTTTATGGTATGTTTAAACATAAGTAAACAGTATTAAATATTTTCTGCAGATTTCAGCATTGGGTGTTATAACTGTATGTACATAGCAAAACCTTGTTCTTTTATTAGACTTACGTTATAGTTAATGTATTGAACATGGTCATGTTGTATTTTGATTTAAATTAAGATTATGACTTAAATGCTACTATATGTCATATTTAATACATGTATAGTAAAAAAGTATTCTTTTGTTTCCTGTTACGGATAAGATGCATTCTTTTAATAATACAAAGTAAACTGAAATATACGAATTGGAGATTAATAAGCTATTAACCCTTTGCACTCGACTGTCGCCTCTGAAGCAACAAAATGTATGGAAAATTAGAAATTCCGAGTGCAAAGGGATAACATATAGACAAAAGCTGTAACCATAAACGAAACTGCAAATTTTTCTTGTTAGTTTGAAGCAATTTAAATCTAAAGTACTAAGTCTAAAATATTTATGTAATTGCATGATATTTACAGAATGCACATTTTTAGTCAAACAATAAAGATTTGAAATGATATGTATGAAATGTAAATAATGTTCAAATATATATAATCATTTATATAAATTTTATCAAATCAGTATCAATCTTGATCATTAATAACTCTCAAACATAACACCTTTCTATTTACACTTATCCATACTAATATGGAGTTAATCATAGGTATATTTCATATCAAATAATGTGACATCAACACTTTTTGTTGTCAACAGTCTTAAATACATTTCCAAATATTCAACAAATCTTTCTTCTAGTTTATAAATAACATATCCGTCATTTAGTTACATATAATGCCTTTTAAAATGAAATAATCCTGTTACTGTTCTAGAGTAGTGTTAACATCCCACGAACGAACATAAAGTCTTATGTAATTATAATTTAACAAATTAAAAAAGAAAAAAAACGCGAAGGTAAATATGATAAATAATGAAATTCCAGGGTACAGAATATTTCTTTTTGTGATAAAATACACGCATAAGACGTCACCAAAAAGATGACGTCGCTATCGGAGCGATCGACATTCAGATAACGACGCACCTTGTGTTTTCTTTGAATCAGCAGGACCCCCCTTCGCGGAGGACTGCGGGAATTTTGTGTTCTTTTCCATTTCTGGCACAAATGTGCTCGTGCTGACTTCCAGCGTAAACGAGGCTGTGGTCTCCTCCGTATGGAGAAACAGTGTATTTTCGCAGACCCTTCATCTTCTTCAATAAGCCATGTTTTCTCAGCGTCAAAGGTGTAGAGAATATCGCCCAGATGCCGATAATCGACGCCCGATAGTACTGTACTACGATGACTACGGACACGTGTATAACAGAGCAAAAGCTCTGCCTTGCTTTTCGTCGCAAACGACGACGACAACCTCGTTTCTTGGCTCAGCGGCCGAAAACGGTCGCGATCTCGTCGCTATGATGGCGACGAAGGCGACGAAACTAATGACTTGCGCAACCGGAAATCAAATGCGGCACATATCAACTGCTTGGATATGCACGTGACGTTCAGGTGACGAATCATTATTTTCAATATGAGTACTTAATAAGCACGCTTCATCAAAATCCACATAGACCGAAAACAATATAAAAATGTAAAACCACGCACGCATTTAGGTTTACTGAATAAATACATACGTACGTAGATATATTTAACGGTAGATATTCACCTGATTTCCGGTATTTGAAACCTTCAAGGAGCTAACCTGCCCTCTAGTGCAAAAACATAGAACTAGTTTTGGAGGGTATGAACTTTAAACACTGTGGTTGACAATGGAGTTTAAATTGAAGTATTACAAATCAAATCGGTATTGTTCAGTACCTCAATATAAATCAAGGTGTACCAGTGACATTTCTCTTCTCATGCTTCCTAAAGATGAGAAGCTCAAAAAGCAATGAGCTCTGCCCTTAAAATAGGGAAGAAAATAACCAAGTACATATGTACGTGTGCAGTTTGCATGTTCTCAGGAACGATTTAATTTTACCAGGTATGTTTACTATTTTGTAAGTTTCATTATCAACATACGATATTATTCCAGTCATATTTATTTAAATGTAAAACTGTTTTGCTTTAAATATTTATATTTCATCACCTATTTAAATTTGTATGTTATATATATATAAATCTTGAAGCTTGAGACCCCTTCCTTGTCAAATAACAAAGATTACTTTATTAATTAATTATCTAAAATTACAACAAAATTAACAGTCCACCCAGTTTTTGTTTGCCTTTTACTTCTTGATGTACCACAGTGCAGTAATAATGTGTTTATACTTTTGACCAGCACCAGATTTACATGAAAATAAACAATTCTTTATTATATTTGCATTATTTTCACTATACAAATCAATGTTTATTTTGTGTGGTGGATCGTGTAAGTTACTTGTCTTTAAACAAAGTGCAAACACATCCACCGAATTTTGTATTCTGTATTTGAGGCCACATAAGAATAAATGATTTGACTTCAGAATACTTTCTCCTTCTATCAAAGGTCTTTTTGATTGGCTACAATAATCAATTATGTCACAAATACTTAATTCTATTCTTAATTGCACTATAAAATGTACAATAAAATCTATTTTCTTATAGTATAACATATGACAGGTCCAATAATGTTTATACCATCCTCAGCCGCCATGACAGTGCGATCGCTCTGCCGCGTATAGTCGCTTTAGTTCGCGAATGATAGATTAAAAAAAGTTCGAATTCTTTTAGATGTTGTAACTGATATATATTGAATTTTTTTCAATATACCCGGTGTTTTATTGAAATTTTACTCAGATTTTGAATAATTTCAGTTATTCCAATGCGTTATTGAAATTGCGAATAGTTTTTCAAGGTAAAATTTTAATTAAACAATTTATTAATTACGATACACTTAAACATTTTTATTATATTCAGAGTTTATGAAAATTTATAAAGCAAATTAAATAAATTCTTAAAAAATTTGTAGATTTTTAAACTGTGAATGAATAGAACTTCCGTTGACAAAACACATGCAGGTAGATTGCGAATTTTCCACGACAACTGAAGAGTCAGTTTAGTACGTGTCTTTCAAGAGTCAAAAGAAGCTTTGTGAATTAGTACAGAAAATATGAAACTTAGTCTGTTTATTTCATCCGTTGAGGTGACAATATTTTGGTAGCGTCTTTGATTCTTAACGCTCTAACGTCCACACCCTTAAATCGTTATTTGCAAGTAAAAAATATCGATATTATACAGACCCATGGTTTAAAAAAATTTTTAATTTGTTTTTGGAGGTAATACTTAAATTTCTAAACTGGAACCGCGGAGATTTACTTCACATCAGTGAAACTATGGATCGTTGCTGACAAAATTTAGTTATTAACTGGCGACAGAATCGTCTCATACATGTTTAATTCGACAGCGATTGCTTTGTAACGCTTTAATAACCAATTGAATGTTATTTTAGTTACCCTTTTGAAAATAGTGTGCCATGTACTGTTAGTTGAGGGTATTCAAACACTAGGTGCTTCTAAACTTCTCTGCTGGTGTGTGTCAATGAAAGAAAAATCAAATTCGTCACTGTGAGACGCGTGGTCTATACGCAGATAGCACATGACACCTTAAAAACGTCTATTTTACAGCTATTTTAGGTCTAAGGCGCCTTTAAGCCGTCTTCAAGGCGTCATGTGCTATCTGGGTAGTTAAGTGTTAATTGTTACAAGCATACAGTTCGTGAAAGATGTTTTGGACTATTAAAAAAAAAAGCAGAATTAGTACTGTTTACGTGGTGGTGAATATTTTGCATACATTGTACTGGACGAATTTATATAATTTTTTGTATAACTAATTTATTATTTATCTTTTTAGATTAAAGAAAAACTATACGTACTGAGAAGAAATGGGGACGTGGTCAGAAATGGAGACATTAATCTTAGGTACTCTTCGAGTTCAATAAGTGTTTTCTTTACCGGCCAAAAGCGTTCGATTCTCCGAAATTACAAATTTCGACTACTTAAAGGCGGCAGTGTATTTCTTCGAAGTGATTGCATTCTATGCACGGAGGATGGATGCGCGCGTCTTTCCGCTGAGCGCGGAATTCCGCGCACCCGATTGGTCCGCGTTCTCGCGTTACGTTACTCGCGGCGTCACGTGACCGCGCCGCGTACATGTATACGTCCGGCCGCCGGCGAAGTTCCTCACTCACTCTTTCGAACCTTTGCGCGGCGGTTCCATTAATTTTTTTCGACAATCCGTAACGCCGAGAGAATCTTTTCGGTGGCCAGTTCACCGTGACCGATGTACAACTGGTTCCAGGACTTGTCCGCGGAAGAACAATCCGTTCGTTCTTCCGACGGCGGTTCCCGCCGACGATTCCGGCCCGATTTGAACGGGCGCGGTTTAAACGGACAGTAAGAAAACGGCGAACACGCGGACGTACGAACCACTAGTTCGTTAACTCTGCTCGATCGTGACACGTCGAGGAACACGCGTGACTTGGTGCCGTCTGAAAGCCGTCTCATTTGGGACAAGTCTATCGAACAAGTCTATCAACAAAAGCAGCGTTCTTGTGATCGGCCAGTGACGCGGGAATGGGTCTGACAGACACCAGTTCCGTGATACTTTTTACCCTGTGGCGGGTTCTCGTCGAGGGAGTCGCGTGGACCGAAGGGGCCCGCGGTCAGTGTCGTGGCGTCTTGCCGAGCCGCAGCATCGTCGACGGTCTCGTTTGTTAATCGGTCGGAACGTGGACCCTGGTAAGTAAAACGCCATACCATTATGAAACTACCGTAGGATCGATCTGGAGGACCGGAAACTGGAAGCTCGACGGCTAGACGATAGAAAACGGCGGTTGCGTCCGTGATTATTCGCACACGTTAATGAAATTTTATGCCACGAAATAACTACCTGTAGACGCCAGCAATGTCTTTATCAGGTAGAATTTCGTAACTGAGGATTTTATGCATTTATAGCATGTACGAATGTGTAGAATTCAGTGTGGTTCAGAGCTTGATGAAGTTTAGGGAGGTTTCTGTTTCGTTTGGAACCTGCTAGAATTGAGAATAAAGTAAACAAATTTTTTATTTCATTCGGATTCCTGTAAATTAGGTAATAACTAGAGATGGCGTAAACTGCTACTTGTGAATCACGAATAATTCGATCACATTTGTTCTCAATCACGGTAATTTTTTACAGTGATTCGTGATTTGTCGTGTTATTTTCTGATTGGTGGCAAAAAATACCAGTTCTCTACACGCGACACATAAGCTGTATATTTTATGTTAACGACATCATAACAAAAATTCGAGTTATGTCGTGTAAAGTGAAGGAATAATTAGAAACAATGAAGAATAATGAATAACTTAATAATTATAAATTATAATCTACATGTTATCTAGCAAATCATTCTTTTAGAATATCTTGTTTTTTCTGCTACACAAATAGTAATGTAATTCTTCGTAAAATCATATTGAATATGTTTTTCCGTTTAAAGATCACGGACTTCTGATCGCAGTGAGAAAATTTACTCAAGATAAAAAGATCGTAATCACGGTCGTGAATGAAGTTAAATCACGACCGTGATCGTGATTCGGCAATCACTCTGATAAATCACCGTTAGTGATTTTGGACGCCATCTCTACTAGTAACGATCTATATTTGTGTTACACTAACGATTACTACAATAAATGAGTAATACGTAGATATAATATAATATTATGTTAATAACCTTTCCCAGGTATGACATGACGCGTAATGACGCCTTGAAGATGGCTTAAAGACGTCTTAGACCTAAAATAGCCGTGAAATGGGCGTCCCCAAGGCGTCATGTGCTATCTAGGTTGGTAGTTGATACTACGTAAAAGAATGAGGCAGAAAAATACGAAATGAAATTGAAAATTCATGGTGATTGTAAATAACAAATTGCACAAGATGACAGTTAAAAATAAAAGGCAGAAAGGAACTGGAAAAAATATGTTTGCAAAGTAGTCGAACGTTCGATTAAATATTTTCGATAAAATGAAATGAACAATCTGAGATATTAAGTGAAATACGTTTTACCAAACTGTCCAACTTTTTTTCTTCAAATTTTGCAAGATAAAAGAGTTTTACAGCGGTTGTCGACTCGTGCTCTCATTTTTGCTGGAAATTGAAAAAGAGGAATAGGGATATCAAAGTAGCCTTTGGACGAAATATTCAATTCGCTGTAGCTTTTTACTCATTTAAACCTTTCAAATCACATTCACCCTGAAAGGTGTAGGAAATCGTGCAATTTTACATTGTTCAGTTTGCTTTTAACGATGTTGTGGCTCTTAACATTTTGAAGGATTGAAGAATTACGAATTTAAAAAATAGTTTTCGAACTTCTAAGAAGAATCACACTTTTAAAAAAAATCAAATGTCTTCGTTGCAAAAATCGCACTACTACAGAAATTAAAAAAAAAAAATGTTTTTCACACATATAAATAATGTATAAATAAAGAC